AAATTCAATTACATACACGTTACAACATCTTTTGATAAATTATACAATCAGAAATCCTTGTGGCTCAATAAAAATAATTCACATATTCAGTAAAAAAATGTTTTGTCCAAATTGTTTTTTGTCAAACATTAATTCATAAATAATTGCTGCGGTATCGAGTCTTAAAATTGAGTTTAAAGGTAGTATTGTGACAACACATGTATCCACCTCCTACATTGGTGCAGTTCAAGAATAAAGCAGACAGAGCATTGAGATAAGGAGTAAAACTGTTAATATACTCACTCAGCCACCGTGTGGGCGGCACGGTGGCTGAGTGGATAGCACTCTCGCCTCTCAGCAAGAAGGTCCTGGGTTCGAATCCCGGTCGGACCAGGGCCTTTCTGAGTGGAGTTTGCATGTTCTCCCCGTGTCTGCGTAGGTTTCCTCCGGGTACTCCGGTTTCCCCTACCACAAAAAATATGTCCAATAGTTCTAGCATGCGCCTCCTGTACTGGCGACCCCGCTCCCATCTCTGTGTGGAGTGAGAGACAATTGCCCAAAAAATTAACAATTGTAAACCGCTTTGAGACTCAGATCTGCAGTGAAAAGGCGGTATATAAATAAAAGATTACTTACTTACTATTACTTACTTAATATCATCCAGCATGTAGAATATACTTACTTAATGTGGTATATATTTTTTTACAGACAGCGGGTCCCCATTTTTCACAGTATTGCATTAAACCTATCTATTTTGCATTGTTTTTTTTATTATGCATGTTTTATCACTCGAGAGCACATTAAAAAAACATGCATGGTTGCTGAGATGGCATCACCTGCTCGCATTTGTGGAGCACAAAAAATAGCAGCAGACAGAAATATCAGCATGGAGACATGCAGATGGAGGAGTGTCCAACAGAAAAGTTACATAATGCACCTTTTAAACCTTACATCTGCTGCATATATTAAGCTGAGCAAAGAATTATTCCTGTTCACCTGGTAGCAGCAAACAGTGGGTATTCGCAGCTCTGTCCCAGCTCAGTCCTGTCAGTCAGTCCTGCAGATAAGGCACTGCTTTCACAGTTGCTTTGGGTCTGGTGAATGGGGCTCTCTGGGGTGAATGTTTGGGCTGATAAAGGTGCGACACCTGCCTCTTCCACTGCCTGCTCACTGTCCCCTGTCTGTGTGCGTGTCTGAGTGATGTGTGTGTCTGTTATTGTTATTCTTTACTTTGATAGAAGGCGCCACACAAATGGACCTCTTCGTCTCGTCTGCTCTGTCACTGATGCAGATTAACTCACTTCTAATTCTCATTTCACAGGAGATAACCTATTTACTCTCTACTCCATTGCTCTTCTCACCTCTTTCCACACAGCACTGGCTCTGGCACATGCTTCATACTTTTTCTGTTTCCACACTGGCACACATTTCACATTCAGTCCAAGATGCCTTCATACAATCACTGGCTCATATGCATTATGTTACTATGCTCCAGCCTGCCCCCTGCTGCCCATTAGGGGCACCTGCCAGTGACAGGTGTGGGATTCAATTATAGCAGCATGCTCCCAGCAGTGGCTCCTGTGTGCAGGCCGCAGCTACGGACAGGGGCCTAGAGCCAGCTCAGCCCTCAAATACATGTTTTTCCAAACAAAAACAGACACCATGACCGAGCTCTTCAGTGCAGCTGCCAAGCTTTGGCAGGGGCCGTTTAGATCATCAAAGTCATATATTAGCCATCACCAGGATGCTGTCACATCAAACATAAAAACACTGTGGATTGCCCTGGACATCCACAATGAAACTGCTAAATTTAGCCTGAAGCTATCAGCTCTCAGTTTTAATTGCGTCACCAGTCGATCACAAACTGCCTGAGAAACTAATGGGACATATTTACTGTCATTTTCCTCAAAGTTGTGGCATTCACACCACTTATGGGCTTCATATTGACAAGTAGCAGCTGAGGTCTGGTCAGCATTAGAGATTATGGAGATAAATACTCAATTATTACATGGACATTTCCTGTCCATGTGACAGTTATTGGCAAAAAGTATAATAGTCACAGAGTGGCCTTTAATCCCTGATAAGGTAAGTTTCATTAGGCATCTGGCTGGTTTGTAGCATAAAGAATTGCCTTTGACTTTACTGCAGGCCCATTGTGATGGCACAGGGTTTCCATCTGCACCTAAACCGGAATTAATCTATTAATCCAACTATCACATATAATCCCAGATGGCTCTTACTCCTGCTAACCTGTTCTCGCCAGTCTAGGATAATGCCTAATCTTAAGACTTACGTCTAATGCATAATGCCTAATACCTCCTTCATACTGCATCCATAATAGCCTCTTGTAGTGTAGACCCGGGGTTTAGCGGCTCAGGCTTCCCACTGTTACAATCACCCTTCACAGTGAGAGAGACCCTGAGGAGGAGAGCTGTAAACAGGAGGCCGGCAGGAGCAGCAAGTGCAAAGCAGAGTTAATGAAGCCCCACTGGCCAGTTCTTCAGGTCTGCAGGTCTGCAGCCGTGGAGCTGAATGCGTGTGGCCACATGTACTGCTGGGGGCCACCGCTGAGCCCTATGACCCCCGGCCCACCCAGGGCTTTCTTCTTCAGAATGAGGCATCCATGGTCAGTGGGTAGGGCGAAGACTGCAGAAGAAAAAACACTAGAGCTGCAGTCTGGAATAACAGCTGCAATGTGGTGTTATTGTCACGATGAGCCCAAAGGAGAACACACTGATACCAATTTAAACTCACGCTGCCAGGTTAGGTCCATAATGAACGCAATCAGGTGGGATTTTTGTGAGAACATTGTGGCAGGATCATTTTGCAGACTGACATGTTATTTTGGAGGTGTGATATTTTTGTTGTAGTGGATCCTTTATATACTGTCCTATATGTGCACCTAATTAAGTGCAGTGTTAATGCTAAAATTGGGGCAAACTCTCTACTTTTACACTGTAGGTTTGTTTGTTCTCCTGGAGCTGCATAATTGAGATCGTTAATTAGATGAGCATATACACATCTATATAAATAGTTCCTGCCTCGCCCCATCCTCAGCCGGTACAGCACACACACAGTTGGATTGTAGTATAATTACACATTCTGCTTTTACACTCTCTACATTCAGTAGAATTAGTATTAGTAATGGTTGATGAACAGGATGCAGTTGCATGTTAGAGTGTCTTCTACTGTACCTTCAGACGTGGTGTATTCATCACGTGGATATTGAATGGCAGTTTGTAAGCATTTATTGTTTTTTTTATTTTTTATGTAGAGTTGATTTGATTTATACTACCCAGAAAGGCCTTGGTCCGACCGGGATTTGATATCGAACCCAGGACTTTCTTGCTGAGAAGCAATTGAGCTAACCACTCAGCCATCATGCCACCCACTGACCGTCTTTATTTACTGTTGTTTTATACCTTTTGAGGTCCTACCTCCACTGGTCTTTCTGTTTTATTTATCAAGATTTTGGTTTATCCTGCTCAACAAGTCTGGAAAATAGCTTTGTTGTTTGGGTGAAAGATCAATAAAACGCCAAGAGGAATTTCTGTTCACCTATAGGTCTGACTTTTGCACCGTGAGCCCAGCAATATAATTTTTACTCTAAAGTGGAGGGTTTTTTATAGGAGCTTTTATCCCTAAAAACGCTGCCAGGTATTATAGGTTCACTCCTTCTGAAGCGCTGTGAAAATGGTGGGATTTAATGTTAAAAAATAGTTTCTAATTGGCTACATTAGTGCTCTGAATTCAGCATTAACCACCGAAACAAGGCCACAATTATCCCTGTGTACGCCGCTCTCCGATTGCTTTTAGTTTTGCTACTTCACCCGTCCCAGTACCAGCAGTACCTCAGGCGCCCCTTGTTTCAAACATTTTGGTTCGACAATGGAGCATGACAAGCCTCCCTCCCCTTGTGAGAACTCTGCCTTTTGAGTGTTTGTTTATGCCTCGCCTTGATTAGATTCCGGTTTGGCTACGAGTCTCAATCCCTGTCGCACCCCCTCAGTCAGAACAGGCTAATTCCTAAGTGGCCCGGCAGTGCCACAGATCACCAAACACTATAAAAAAAAACAGCACGACAGCAGAAAGGGGAGCAGCCGATTCGAGTAACTACTCTATCTTGCTATTATGATTCACCTCCCGCACCAGACTTCATGCAATATTCAATAGAGCTGGAGCCGAGACTGATGCATCACTCTTAACGGTGACAGTGGATGTATGTGCGTGCTTTAGGGACAGGGCTTTCCAATACACATGCCTCCTGTCATCTACGTCCAAATGCCCCCACAGAGTCCAATTAGTTCAGAGATGCGTGCAATCGTGAGGTGACCAGCAGGTAATGGCAGAGTCACAAGCCAAAAAACAAAACCACGTCCTTAAAAACCTGGCAAACACGCAGATGTCTGATGTGTTCTGTGTTTCGTTTTGTCCTCCCTGTCTGTCTTGTGTGTGGCGGACGCAGTGGAAGCTGGGCCAAACTTCAAAATCCTTACCCCAGAAAAGATTCTCGTCTTTGAGGCATTATTCTTGACGATGAGCCAAATCGGAGTCCTAATAATACAAGCCGCGCAATTACTGTTTTCCCACCCAGTAGTAGAGTGTAGTGAGGAGAGAGGGAGGGCACACAACAGGCCTTTGAAATAGAAAATGCACAATCAAACAAAAGTAGGGCAAGATGAATTAGATTAGAGGATACATCTAAAGCTGTGGTGGAGGCCTGAAATCTCTCGTTTATCATAGTCAGACGCTTCACAACCGCTGCCGTGATGTTCTACAAATTAGGTTTCATAAGTTTGCTCTTTTTAATCTGATATACAAAACCACAAATCTGCCTTGTGCTGTGCAACCTATTCTAGTCTCAATTTATCAGCTCACATATTCCATTTAATGTATTCCCTGGTCTTTAGCCTTTTACTATTTTTTACCCCTGCCATCTCCATCTCCATCACCATCATCGCCTTCTTTCGTACAGTGCTCGGTGCTAATCTGCGTGTGTCTTTTCTCTCCTCCCTCCACAGTCTTTGTCTGTCCCGGGACGTTGCAGCGCGTCCAGGCTGCCAGCTCCCAGCAGGAGGCGGAGCATCAGGCGGGCGCGTGGTGCAAAGACCCTCTACAGTCCGGGGACCGCCTCTACGTCATGCCCTGGACGCCGTATCGCACCGACGTCTTGTATGAGTACGCTTCCTGGGAGGACTTCAAACAGGCACGAGCCACCACCACCTACAAGTGAGTGCGCCCCCTGCTGGTAGCTTGATCAAACAGCAGCTGTCCCCGTATTGATTTATTGGCGTTTGATGTGGATATGGATGGTGATGGTGGAACGGTCCCCGCTGTGGTGTCAGCCGCCTCACCACGAGACCATCTTGTAGCAGTGATTCACACAGCGTCGGAAGAAATCGCTCTTTCATTGCAACATGTGGGACTGGCACCATGATTACTATATCGACTTAATGCTCCTGTATAAAAAGAGGCATATACAGTAATAGTATGGGGCTGGGTGCACCTGTTTACGTCAGTGGAAGACCTGTGGGTTTGTGTCAAGATTTGAGTCAAATAATTAACATATGACTTATTGTAGATATTAGGTACCATCTAGTAGGTAACATTTATGGACATTTATCAACACTTAATGTATGGAAATTGGTCTTCTGCCCCTTATGAACTAATACCAATGTCTTTTCTGTTTTTTTTTCTCTTGTTTGAAATGTTTAATTCTCTGATCCTTGTTAGCAAAGTTTTTTAAATAAAAAACACTTATTCTTTTTTAATAAAAAACAAATGTTTGTCCCAACAGAATGAGTCTTCTAATGTTGAAAACAAATCAGAACACAACATTTTGTTTTCATCTTATTAGAATATGAAAACATCTTCTACTAAGACAGACAGATTTAACACAATCTTATGAAGTCATACATAATGTACACTTATATGCCGTTGTTATTACAATATATTATAACTTATCCAAGTTGTATAAAAAGCAGTAACATGACGTTTGACCCTTTACTTAGCTTTTACATTTTTTGTGTTATTAATGATACTCATTGTTTGACCTAATTTGAATAGTGATGTAGAGTTTAAATTAACAAATCAGACCACTACTGAATTCTTTATCTTTATCTCATTTAATACATTGCAATTAAGGAAAGAGCTGAGAGCTGATTGGCTGAGCTACAGCAGTTTTCTCTTTGTCAATTCTCTGTCTGAAAAAGCTGATCTAAAGATGTGACAAAGGCCAAAAATACGTTCATGTAAAAACTGGCAATAACAAACTGCATTGAGAGCTCGGAACTTATTTGATGGAACAACAAGTTAGCTACCCCAGCTTTACCTTCTTAATTCACAAATATATAGATACAATTTCAACCTATCTTTATTATCATACAGAGAAACAACATTAAGTTTGGGGCATCAACACTCCACAGTTTTATGTAAAACGTCACATTTGCCAAAACCCCAGAATCTCCATAAATAACCCAGTGTAAAAATTTAAACAATTGTGACGTGGGTGCAACACAGAAACAGAAACGAGGAGGGAGAGACAGACGATGGAAACTATTCATATACTGTATATTTTTAACAATCGGAAAACAGCTTCTTCACAGTGACTATCAATGTAAAATGTGTTTTTAATTGTGTTAAAAGCCCTTCTGGGACGGATATAGCAAATTAGCCTTGGCTATAAATGCTCTAGTGTTTCACATGTTGATTGCATAGACTTGTCCCTATCAAACAAATTAATCAATAAATGAAATACATAAATCTCTCTCTGACAGACTGCCCAACAGAGTGGACGGCACAGGCTTCGTGGTGTACGACGGAGCAGTGTTTTACAACAAGGAGAGGACGAGGAACATCGTGAAGTACGACCTCCGCACGCGCATCAAGAGCGGAGAGGCCATAATCACCAACGCCAACTACCACGACACGTCTCCGTACCGCTGGGGAGGGAAGTCCGACATCGACCTGGCCGTGGACGAGAACGGGTTATGGGTCATTTATGCCACAGAGTCCAACAACGGCAGACTCGTGGTCAGCCAGGTGGGCACCAGGATTAGACAAAGAGATTAGAACAAGACTCCAGGCAGTATGGGTTTTATCGCTCACAATAAAACAGCCCTGACCAATGAAGTCCATCCAAAAGAGTCACGTAAATACAATCTGGAAAAGGTTAAGTCAAGCCCAAATCCAATCAAATCCAAAAGTAATACTCCAAAATATTTGTGTTTTTACCGAGACACAGCTGGGTTTTCAGATGGACTCTTTCTCAAAATGCATTTCTCTTTATACATAATTTATGGAGCCTCCAGAACAGATTGTGAACACACTGTACTGTTTGTCTGTCTAATCCAAAGTCACTTCTGAGTACCTTTTGCAAAAACTTCAAGTACGATCCATCACTGAACTTTGGAACGCTGCTCTTGTTTTCTTTTATTTCTCAACGTGCATAACCTTCCCCACAAAAACAGTTAAATTAATGTGTTGTTCTCATAAAAAGGGCCATATTTATTATGTTTGACCTTAGAGCAAAACTGTTTTTCAAACCGCATAAGTTAAACTATCAATCTAACATATCAAATCCCCATAAGCTTTGCCAGCGTTGAATAATGGAAGAAGTGCGTAATAAATAAGAAGGTGATCGCTTTCATGATCAAGGACTTGTTTGTTTTCCAGGGAATTTCATTAGATTTCCTATAGCGTTCTTAGTGCGCCACAAACAGGAGTTGTGATTATGACTTAGTGTGTAACTTTATTAGAAAGCGGCGGAAACATATCAGTTCTCCACAGCTCGGGGCTTAATTAGTTTTTGATGTGATTACTAGTGCTTATATGTTCATCTTTACATTTCCTATCGTCCATATGGTCCTGCTGGATTATGAAACCGTTATCATTGTGCCAAGATGGAGTGTGGACAAAAATTCAAAAGTTTACTTACTGTATACACAAAACATTGTTCTCCCCAATAGTCTGTTGTTGGTAAAACTCAGGGATATTTAATGCAGCTCATGTTTAATTTATGCTTTGGAATTAATATTTTTTTTGATATGTTCACGAATGTTTATTACTTAAGCCGTTTCTGAATAGATTAAAACGGAAAAGGCTGTAAATAATGATTTGTACTGTTTAGATCCTGAATGGTCAGTAAATGGGTGTCCAGGACTCCCTTGAAAAAGAGGTTCTCAATGGGACTTTCCTGGTTAAATAAAGGTTAAATAAAATAATAATGATAATAATAGTAATAATAATAACAATAATAATAATAATAATGATAATAATGAAAATAATAATAATAATGATGATAATGACAATAATAATAATAATAATAATAATAAATATGGTATTATTTATACATTTGACCAAAACAAAGCTAATGTTACCATTGGGGGAACATCAGCATAGAGATGACTTATTACATTGAGCTACATGATTAAAACATTTATTCAATTTCTTTCTGCAGTCATTATAGAATCATCCAACTCGTAAAACCTGAATAAGTTCACAACTACTTCAATAATCATCAATCTTTTTACAGCCCTTGTTTCAACATGTGTCCTTTGCTCTTTTTCCATCAGGTCAATCCCTACACGTTGCGTTTTGAGGGCACCTGGGAGACCAGTTTCGACAAGAGGATGGCGTCCAACGCGTTCATGGCGTGCGGTGTACTTTACGCGGTGCGCTCGGTGTACCAGGACGACGACAGTGAGGCGGGGGGAGATCTCCTTCTTTACGCCTACAACACAAACCGTAACCGCGAGGAGCCGGTCAGCATCCCCTTCCCGAACCCGTACCAGTACATCTCCTCCGTGGACTACAACCCGCGCGACAACCAGCTCTACGTCTGGAACAACTACAATGTGCTAAGATACAACCTGGAGTTCGGACCCCCAGACCCCACCACAGGTACTGACCTCACCACGGATACTGACCCCACCACAGGTACTGACCCCACCACAGGTACTGACCTCACCACAGGTACTGACCTCACCACAGGTACTGACCCCACCACAGGTACTGACCCCACCACAGGTACTGACCCCACCACAGGTACTGACCCCACCACAGGTACTGACCTCACCACAGGTACTGACCCCACCACAGGTACTGACCCCACCACAGGTACTGACCTCACCACAGGTACTGACCCCACCACAGGTACTGACCCCACCACAGGTACTGACCTCACCACAGGTACTGACCTCACCACGGGTACTGACCCGACCACGGGTACTGACCTCACCACGGGTACTCACCCCACCACGGGTGCTGACCTCACCACAGGGACCCCACCACAGGTACTGACCCCACCACAGGTACTGACCTCACCACGGGTACTGACCCGACCACGGGTACTGACCTTACCACGGGTACTCACCCCACCACAGGTACTGACCCCACCATGGGTACTGACCTTACCACGGGTTCTGACCTCACCACAGGGACCCCCACCACAGGTACTGACCCCACCACAGGTACTGACCCCACCATGGGTACTGACCTTACCACGGGTTCTGACCTCACCACAGGGACCCCACCACAGGTACTGACCCCACCACAGGTACTGACCTCACCACAGGAACTGACCCCACCACAGGTACTGACCTCACCACAGGTACTGACCCCACCACAGATACTGACCTAACCACGGGTACTGACCTCACCACAGGAACTGACCCCACCGCAGGTACTGACCTCACCACAGGTACTGACCCCACCACAGATACTGACCTAACCACGGGTACTGACCTCACCACAGGAACTGACCCCACCGCAGGTACTGACCTCACCACAGGTACTGACCTCACCATGGACTGGAGAGGCTCAGGAAAGAACCCAGTGTTCTCTGTGTATGTACATTTTTGGTTTTCATAAACGGAAGATTTTTTGTGTCATCAGATTTAGAATTTTAAATTAGGTTGAATTTTTTTATTTAATATTTTGAAACGTGAAAAAGCATGTTTGAATATTTTTGTCTTTACATTTCAATCTCTTAAAATTCAGTTTACAAATTTCAGTACAATTGAAATGTCATTTTCAAATTTGATAAAAAATTCCAAATGACATATTTGCCTTTAAAGATTTCTATATGTTTCTTTTCGAGCCTCAAATTCAGTAAAAGTGAGTAAAGGAAAAACCATTTAAACACTTTTAATAAAATTGGTGGAAAACTAATTAATAGTTTTTTTCAGAATTCTAATGGTTTGGATTGAAGCAGTCAAAATTATGGCTCTGGAAGTTTTAGTAGTTTCAGGAGTCCCAATGTTAAATTTATATTCACAGACATCTCGCTGGAATTCCAACGTTGTAATATATAAACGTATCTCAATAACCTCATTCGCACTTTGAGGTTTGGGAGAGAGAAAAATCAGGTCAACGTGCATAATGCGTCCTAATTCCCATTATAATGTTTCTGTCCTGTCTAATAAAGCTCACCAGCCTAAACATCTTTTTAAAATGGTATCTCTCCTGTGATCTGTGTTATATCCGATGTCGTACTTGGTTGTTATGAATATAATAGTAGGAACATTAGTTACTCTGACAGTGAGCCACAATTACTTTCCCTAATGTTGTCTTGATTGCAGGAGAATACAGACTTCTCAAACCTGCACAAATCTCCCTTACTTCCAGTGGGTAAATGAGAAGCAATTAAAACATCATTAAAAGTTCTTAAAAGTCCACATTACTCAATATTTTAAACTTAAAGGAGACATATTATGCAAAGCGACAACCATATTTCAACCATATTATGACTTTGTTCCCTCGATGGTCCCGAAAAACCCTTGTCTCAGTTCTGTAATAGTATGATTTCACACTTTTCTGCATCTGTCTTATATATTTACTTATTGAATTCTCTTTAATCAAGAAAGTCCTACTGAGATCCTGTCCCCAGAGTGTGAGGGGGTGGGAGAGTGGGGTCGGGAAGGTGTTATGGGAGACTATACATGTTTTTTTATTGGTACCAGAGCACCTGGAGACGACCTACGCAAACACAGGGAGAACATGCAAACTCCATACAGAAAGGACCTTCTTGCTGTGAAGCCCAAGCACTAATCACTGCGCCATCGTGGCGCCATCTTATTGCGTCTATCGTTTCGGTAAATCCCAATTGTATGGCCGTGGTTGCAGCCGGTAATTTTCAAATTTGGAGAAAAACAAATTCAACCCCTCCCTCTACTATTTCACACTCTAAAACATGATACGGTAAAAATAAAAGTCTCAATATTGTTTTAACAACCTAAAATACTGCATACTATGTCTTCTTTAAGCTACTTGAATCTCATCTGATGCCAAAGTGCTCGTTCAATTGCTCGGCTTCGACTCTGTCTTTGTCATGCGGACCAAAAAAGTTACAGTGGAATCAAAGAGGAGGGTGAAATGAGGATATTTCTGTGCAATTTGTCAGTCTATGAATAGGACAGAGGGTTTGGGTGTACTGTAGTGTGAGAGCCTCTGTCGAGATTAGGCGCACAGAAAGAGGAAGAGAGAGAGAGTGAAAGGGGAAAATCCAGCGCGTTTGATCAGAGGGATTTTGTACTTCTTTTATCTCCACATTAACTTTTGGTTGGTACTGATGCTGTGATACATTTGATCAATTATTTACTTCCCCCTGACTTGTGATGATGCTTCTTCTTTTGTGCCACGCTTTCCTCCTTTCGCTTGAGATTGAAGCTTTTGAGGGGACAGAAAGTGTTTGTCACCCCAATTATTGCCAGGGCTCACTCTTGAACTTCTAAGACATGTTTTATATTCTTACAGCTCGCCCAAACCCTTCTCGTCATGTCTCCTTTAAGGCTCTTGGCATTGTTGGTAACGCACTCAAACGAATTCCTTTGCATCCTCACTTAAATCCAAAATCAAAACAAAAAAAAATCTCTCAAATCTTCAAAGACTCATCTATAACTTTTTTGTGTTTTGTGTTACGTAAGGTCCTCTGACTACCACTCAAGTCACCACCACCGTGCCGGCCAGACCGCCCTCCTCCACCAGCACCAGCCCGTCCACGGCGCGGCCCATTTCCCCGACGTCGCGACCGATCGGAGCCATCAACATACACCCCACGTTGAGGCCGATCACAGCCACCGCCCCGGTCACGCGCCGCCCGTCCCGCCCCTCTCGGCCTCCGCAGGGATCGGAGCTGTACCTCTGCGAGTCCAAGATGGTGCGCGGTGTCCAGTGGCCCGCAACGCTGAAAGGAGAGACTGTGGATCGACCCTGCCCCAAAGGATCGTTAGGTGAGTAGATTTTTGTTTAGGAGAGGTGTTGTGGTGTGAATGAGAGAGGATTCAAGAGGTATTGATATCATACTACTGTACATGCTAATATACAGTAAACGCACTCGGAAATGTTTTGGACCTGGGTGATTTTGTTATATTTCTATTTCTATATATTTATTAGCCTGACCTGCCAGAAGAAACAACACAATTTTACACTATTCATTTTCAAGTATGTGTCCCAAGCTGCCCATTTCTCAGCAGTGTTTGGTAGCTATTGATTGGTCAGGTATACTTTATGCGTATGTCAACAACAAACAGAAGAATTTTTCAACATGTGTCGGCCAATAGATTTTAGGACAAAGTGAGGCTGCATCCCAATCTTGTCCTTTCAAAATCGATCTTTGATGAGACAAGGCCGCTCCAGGTTTGGTCAAGTGACATCTGACACTGTTTTTTTGTTTTTTCTTCTCATTTTTTATGCCACAAAGGCGCCAATATATTTTGTTTTATTTGTTTCGTTGTTGTGTTTTTGCTTTAATTTTATATCTTTTGTGTTGTCCTTTTTGTTTTGTCCGTGCTTTGTATTTTTGTTTATATTTCTTAATTGACATTGTCCTTAAATAATTGTCTTGATAATAAATATTAGGAGACACCATAAACCAAACTAAAATTTGAATGTAGGACAATGTTCTCAGTTCTGAAATTGTTTATATATTTTTTTTACTTGAGTTTCTGGAAACAACCAGTAACCTGCTCGGATACAGGCTGACTAATGTGCTCCACTGTAAAAGAGTGGCTGGTCACCAATCCTTAGAAACATTCTGCATGGAGAGCGTTTATTGTCACTGTAGAAGATTATCACAGAAGGATGAGGCCTTTCTCCTTTTCGTTTGTGGAGAGCAGGTTTTGTGATATTTTTCCAGTACCACATCTAAAACCTTTATTTATTTTGCCCAGAACTTGACAGGAGCCCTAAACAACAGCCTGATGCTCCATGAACTATTTTGACAGTACAGTACAGCAATTTAACCACATTTAACATCAAAATAATCTTGTTGCGGTTGTCTACTTGTCAAATCCGGCGATTCCCTGCAGCAACAAGCTGTCAATTGCCTACGCATAAGAAGTGTTTACTTGGTCAATTTGACTGACACTAAATAAATTCCTATTTTGCAGACAGATGGAGTCCACAAAGGGATGTCAGCTCCTGTAATGTATGTACATTTATTTGACCCTGACCCCCTGTGACCTCAGGGTGGTTATGCTGCCGGTCAAATATGTCAACAAAAACATAACTGTAAAATGACTTCACCGCTCACTGAGTCACTTGCAAGTCCTTTATCATGCAAATTATAATTCAGCCCAAGTAATTATAATCACACCAATTTTTCCTGACATTTTAGCTGCAATTTTTTTAATTAAAAATATCCATGGAGCTCAATTGTCCTGCAGTTAAAATTCCACTCTGGTTTCCAAAAATACTTTTCCCATTATTTTCCACCATAGCCTTTAAAAAAATATTGTTAAGTTATTAAAGGCACAGTATGAGGCTAACCAGCAATGACTGGCTAAAAGATGTCGATTTCCTTTTCAAATGTAAATCTTATAGATGGGAATGAGCTGTTTTACTACAATCAGGCACATTTACTTTTTGTATGATTGTTCATTAATGTGTGTGGTCTTCCCAATCAAATAAATACATAATTTTGTTGTGACGCCTCTGATATCCAATAAGGAAAATGTATGGGACATCCATCCATCCATTTTCTTCCCTTAATCCACTTGTGGGTCAAGGGGGTGGTAGTCAGAGCTGCACCCAGTACACAGAGCACCAGCCCCTCACTGATCCTCCTGCAGGTGGTGAGTCCACAGGAGCTGAGATCTTTCAGCAGGGGCTTCAGGCAAAGTGGGGTTAAGTGTCTTGCCCAAGGACACAACGACAGCAGTCATCAGTGGGAGTCGTGAAGTAGGTCTTGAGGTGGGCTCGAACCTACAACCTTCAGGCTCTAAGGCTAATGCTCTACAAACTGAGCCACTGTCTGTCGAATGGGACATCATTGAAGATAATGCAACATGTTGTGATCCCTTTTGTGGCCTATAGGGGGCCAAACAAAAGTGAAAAATGTCACTTTCTAAATATTTGATTTCACCTATAAGCAAAGGCCTGCTACATTGACCATCATTTTGACCCTTTAAGGTGCATGCAGTTTTCATATCTTGTTTTTTCCATAATGACTCCTTCGGAATACTTACAAAACACAAATAAAATATGCTTTTTTCCTGCCACTGAACACATCATTAAAGTAAGTGCATGTACTGCCTCCCACTGTTGTCCCTGCCTTGCTCCCGCCAGCCGGCACATCCCCCCGTGGGACAGCTGGATGAAAGCCTGTCCTCTATAAATACAAAGCTCTCCCTCAGAAACAGAGCTGATTGAACGTAGAGAATAGTCAAATGAAAGGCTACTACAAGGCTTTACCTCTGCATGTATCCGCTGTGGCGAGCATGTGGCCATCAGAGAGCCGCTCTGTCCTACGAGCGAGCGCAAACATCACATTAACAACTGGGCTAATTGCTGCATGTTGGCAACACATTAATTGAGAGGGGACTTTGTTTTAGCACGGATCAAACCTTTCATCCATTAAGCCTATTTCAGCAACAGTAATGCAACTACGAAAATGGAAAAAGCTGCTTTAATGACAGCTGGAATGACGGAAGAGGTGGAAATGTTTATGTTCGAATCTATAGTGTGCATTAATTTGAGATCATTTACTGTATATTAATTTGGGTCTCTTTTATTCTCTTTTTCAAAACACAAATGTCAGAGATCGTTTGTATGTCTCACAATGGGGATATTTCAGTGTTGCATTTTAGGTCACTGAAGAGTAGGAATGAGGAGCACACAACACAAATCTTGAGTGAATGTTGTCTAATGGGTCAACACTAAAATGTTAGTCTTGATTGATGTTGTCTCTGTCTTGTATTTTTGTTATGTTAATGTATGTTAATGTATTTTCATGGCTTTTTAACATCACGGCCAGGGGACAACAGAAGAAAAATATTGAGAAAAAAAAACATTCTGGCTTTTCTCATGTTTAATTGTGTGTTTTATTAGATTGCATTGTCCCCTTTGAAATGAACTGAACTGAAACTGAAACAAGATACATGAAAAGTATAGCACAACTTTAAAGAAAAAACATAAAGATGAAATAATATGTAATAACTGGTGGTTTTACATAGAAAAATAAACACTTGTTTTTAACTCAAATGAACCCAAAATTGGTCCAGAACGTGCCAGGCTTGTATAGTTATAGAAGCAATCTCCAGACTGAAACGATATACACTGCTTTTGCCTCTATAATCAACTCCCTTGGCATAAATCAGTGTATTGGCAAAACACATAGGCAATAATATTAGTCTCCTCACACACACAGCATGTTAAGGTTAAAAATATAGTCTGTGCGGAAAATAATTATGTACGGTAAAAAAGTGGCAACTCTTTTTGTTCATCCACCCTATAGTTTACAATACAATACAATACAATTTATTCTTGTATAGCCCTAGGTCACAACAGAAGTCATCTCAGAGGACTTAACAAAACCATTGAAATCACCAACACAGGTCAGAGAATCAACAGTTAAAACACATGAAGAATATAAAGCACACACAGAAGAAAATGTCCATACATGTTGTAGAATGCTAAAGTGTCCTGATCATCACCAATCCTTTCTGTTGGACACTAACTGTCCAACAAGACCCTCCTGCATCGACAAGGAAAAACTCTTAAAAAACCCAGTGGGAAAAAGTGAGAAACCTTGGGGAGCACTAGGGAAACCCACAGGGAGGGAGACCCATTTGAGAAAGGGATCCGCTCCTCCGGACGGACAGGCTAATGATCTAGGACCTAAGCTAGCTACAAGACGTGGACCAGTGGCCGCTGAACGTGGACAGGTCTGGTGCAGGACCGAAGCACTCCCAGGCGGGTCGGGCGGGGCAGTCCGCAGGTGCAGATGGAGGAGGCCAGGCTCAGAGATCCCGTCATCGTACCATGAAACAGACAATGGGACAGCGGGTGAATAGCAATGAACAAACTACAGTCAGAATCCTAAAAGTGCTAAACAGATAAAGTAGATAAAGTAGGAAGGAGGAGAGGATAGTGCTCAAGTTACCATACTTCTCCCAGCAAACTGACTCCCTATGCAGCTTGACTGACACTCTGAGGAGTTTAGCCTTCCCTGAGTCTTACCTTCCTAGCCATATGCTAAACTAAAGAGGACTGTTTTAAACCTAGCCTTGAATAAAGAGGTTCATGGATTGCACACCAGGTGTGCAAACCGATCCAAGCAAACCTAATTATATATTATATATCATATACATCATATATACCATACATACCATATATATCATATATAATACACAACATAACATACAGCATAATATATAACATAATATACAACATAACACAATACATTATTGTATAATATATAACATAATATATAACATAGTACAGCATACATATATAACATATACACCATATATTATATATTACCTAATTATATGCTAAATTAAAGTAAAGTGCTTTAAGCCTGGCCTTGAATGTGGAGACCGTATCTGCTTCCTTAACATAAATGGGAAGCTGATTCCACAGTAAAGGAGCTTGGTAGCTAAACGCTCTGCCACCAACAGTGACCTTTGAGACCTTAGGGACTACCAGACGTCTGGCGTTTTGTGAGCGCAACGCTCGACTTGGTTGATACGACACTAACGTGTCTTGGAGATAAGAAGGAGCCAAGCCATTTATGGCTTTATATGTTAAGAGAAGGATTTTAAACTTTATTCTGTACTCCACAGGGAGCCAGTGGAGTGATTTTAACACCAGAGTTATGTGCTCCCTCCTTTTGGTACCTGTTAAGATCCTAGCTGCTGTATTCTGAACGAGCTGGAAGCTCTTCAAAGACGCTTTAGGGCACGCTGCCAGTAAAGCGTTACAGTAGTCAAGCCTTGAGGTGACAAACGCGTGAATAAGTTTTTCCGCGTCACTTTTAGGAAGGAAATTCCTAATTTTAGCGATGTTCCGTAGGTGGGAGTACGCCGTTTTAGTTGCTTGGCTTATATAAGCCTTGAAGGAGAGTTCTTGGTCAAAAATGACTCCAAGATTCCTCACGGTGTTACTGGGTATAATACTGACATTATCGAGAGTAATTATCTGGTTAGTGAGGGAGTCACGCAGGCGCTTCGGACCGAGTAGGATCACTTCTGTCTTCTCCGGGTTGAGATGTAGGAAGTTAAGAGTCATCCACATTTTAAGGTCTTTTATGCAGGCACTGAGCTTTTCCAGCTGATCTGTCTGATTTGGCTTCATCGACAGATAAAGCTGTGTGTCATCTGCATAGCAGTGGAAATTAATTCCATGCTTTTTAATAATGTTTCCTAATGGCAGCATGTAGAGAGTAAAAAGAATCGGTCCGAGTACCGAACCCTGCGGCACACCGAATTCTACTCCAGAATAAGGCGACGAGTTCTGATTTACGTTGACGAAGTGATACCGATCTGATAAATAGGATTTAAACCAGCCAAGGGCTGTTCCTCTAAGACCTATATCACATTCTAGCCTCTGCAGTAGAATGCTGTGGTCTATTGTGTCAAATGCAGCACTAAGGTCCAGTAGGACCAGCACTGACACTTGTCCATTATCAGCAGCTAGTAGTAAGTCATTTGTGACTTTGACTAGTGCCGTTTCAGTGCTATGATGAGCTCTGAATCCTGATTGAAAGACTTCAAACATATTATTTTCCTGCAGGTGGCAGCAAAGCTGCTCAGCTATAAGTTTTTTCCAGGATTTTAGATATAAAAGTGAGGTTTGAGATCGGTCTGTAGTTTGTAAGTATTTCTGGGTCCAGGTTTGTTTTCTTCAGAAGGGGTTTGATAACCGCGGTTTTAAAAGCTTGTGGGACATAGCCACATTGTATGGATGCGTTTATTATATTTACGATAGGCTCAATTATCACAGGAAGTATGTCTTTGAAGAGCCATGTCGGGACTGCGTCTAACATGCAAGTTGAGGCTTTTGAGGATGTGACCACAGAGATCACCTCTGCTTGGCTCACAGCCATGAATTTATCGAGGCCCACTGAAGAGTCTAAGTGGGAAGTCCCGTATGCCGCTTCAGCCTGTCCACTACCAACAGCCGGAGTAACCTCCTCCAGTTTGTCACGGATGGATGTAATTTTATTATTAAAGAAGTGGAGAAAGTCGACACTGCTCAGTGAGCTTGGAATTTTAGGCTCGATTGCGCTATGGCAGTTTGTGAGTTTAGCGACGGTGCTAAACAAAAATCTACTGTTATTTTTATTCGCTTCTATTAAAGTAGAATAGTATTGAGTTCGAGCCCTGCGAAGGGCATTCTTATAGTTTCGGAGACCTGCTTTCCACTCCCTGTGGACAGGCTCCGAGTGGGAGTGGCAATATAGCCTCTCCAATTTTCTGACGTCCTGTTTTAAAGTGTGGAGTTGAACACTGTACCAGGGCGACGATGATCTAATCCTAATAGTTTTCTGTTTTAAAGGAGCTGCTGCATTTAATGCAGATTTTAAAGACTCCATAGTGTTGTCCACCGTTTGGTCAATGACTGAGGGACTGCAGCTGCTGTGAACAGGTTCACCTGCAGCAGTATTCAACATAGGCTGTATTAGTTCTTTGAACCTTGTGATAGATTTATCATTTAAAGTTCTTTTCATTATGGTTTTATCTTGCGGGACAGGAAAGTCCTCCAAATCGAGATCAAACGTGATCAAGAAATGGTCAGACAGCAACGAGCTTTGACGCTGGATGTCAACATTGGAGACATCACAGCCGTAGGTCAGGACAAGGTCCAAGGTGTGGTTATGAATGTGAGTGGGTTCCTCAACATTCTGAGTAAAACCAACACCATCTAGTACGGCGCTGAAAGCTTTGTTTAAGCTGTCAGTGCTGTCGTCCACATGTATATTGAAGTCTCCAGTTATAACTATGTTTTCCCATTCCAAAACTAGGTTTGAAATGAAGTCAGAGAATTTCCATCCAGATTTATCTTTAACAAAAATTATCATCATACCACATAATAATTCTGCCTTAGTGGAAATCAAAAAAGCAGTTGGCTTCATTTACAGTTGCAGCTCAGCTCTTCTTATTGATTTGCTTTTCTCTCTGACTTCTGGTCTTGTCTTACATAATATGGTCCCAATCAGCTCTGAATAACTGTGCTCTTGAGAAAAATATGTTGGACTATAGAGGCATGAGCTCCTATTGACTGTAGTGGAGTGTTGCTGTCTGCTCCGCCGCTGATTCCCATATCTCCTCTCTCCTTTCCTTGTTGCTGTAAGTGGATGCCTGTTATTTGCAACTACACTTTTTCCTTTTTTTTTTTTTTTACCCGCCTCCTGTCCTCTGTTTGAACCCTGTAACTAAACAGAGGAGCCCCATGTGAGAGTGAGAGAGTGAGAGAGAGAGAGTGTGTGCTGGTAAAAGGTGCTTCCCTTCAGGTGTGGTGTTATTCTGCAGTGGGGAATCAGAGCTGATGGTAATGTCTTTTGGAGTGTGTGCGGAGAGAAAAAAAAAAAATAACATAACCGCTTCTCTCTTTCTTTCATGCTTCCTTCCGACTCGTGCTAACCTTTCCCATTTTACCGACCCATTTTTCCAGCGTCCCCGTTCCTTCTCGCGTCGACAACACTTTGCATTTTTTTAAAAGTGTAAAAATCGCACCTTCCTACTCTTCTCGCCACATGTCCTACCTATAATAGCCAGCACCTAATATCTGCAACAGAGAAACGTGTTGTCATTTATTGTATAATGTATAATCATGAGCCTAAAAAATATTGGTATACTGTATATTTGTTGTAGGAATAGAACAGCGGGTAGTGCTTCAGAGATAGAAATGTTAACCCTTAATGTTGTGCTATGGCGTGGAACTGGACCAGAAGTCAAAAAATAAATAAGAAAGGACCATTACCAACACTTACAGGCTTTTAGAGTGAGAACTGCATGCAAACTCAAAGAAAGATGAGGTTAGAGTCAAAAGTATTCATATAGCACATTTAAAATCAATGACTCATGTGCTGAACACGAATTATAAGCAAACATCATACAATACAACATCCATATAAAAAGTACTAGTCGCTAATCTCTGGGTATTTGTATGCTTTATTTAGTATGGTAGTTAATACAATAATATATCAAAAATACTGAAACATGTTTTTTTTTTAACTCTGGCCAATAATTAACCAACCAATGAGATACAGTACTTGCCATTACTTTTTTTCCAAGTTCCCTGCGGACAATGTGTATGTTTTTAATTTGTTTAAGCGCTCACATGGATGCAGGAAGGGATCTCCAGAGCTGATGCATACATTCTTGCTTCTGGTGTGTTTATGTGAACAGCAGAGAGAGAAACAAGGAAGTGTTGTGATTAGGGCTAATATTCAGAACAGAGTTTATTTGGACTTCATCAACTTTTAGCAGGAATGGTAGAAAGTATTGAAGTTCTTTGATCAACAGTGCCTTAAAACACAATAAATCATGTTGTGACCAGTTAAAACAGTAACGTTAACTGGTTCGGCCTATTTGTGTTCGAAATGTACTTTCTCTTTAAATGTAGCTGATGCAATTTATATACAGATAGAATAAATATTACAGCAAGTAATGGTACTCAATTAATCGAGTACCATTTCACAGAACCCCAAAATCAATAGTAGCAAAAGTAGTAGTTGTATCCCGTGGAAAACAAATCGTTTTTCATTTGTCTTATAAAAGTATTGCATTGAAATGACTGGAGATAGGCTGCCATTACAGCTTGAATTGAATACATGCTATATTCATTTTATGCATCACTCACCTCTTTCTCTCCGTCTCTGTCTCCAAAGGCATCGCTTCGTACCAATGTTTGGCCGACCAAGTCATGTGGAACCCGCGAGGCCCCGACCTCAGCAACTGCACCTCTCCGTGGGTCAACCAAGTGTCCCAGAAGGTGAGACCCGGGCCCTCACCAGGACTAATTACCATCTCTCAAAGGCTAACCTCATTTACATGCATTTCAGACGCTCCTTCATTACCGCTCGACTTTTAATACTTAATTAACTCTCCTTTCACTGATATTCTCGAATCACTGCTTTTTTTTTTTTTTTACAATCTCTTCACTTCAGCGCCGTATAACTTTAAATGACTGACATCGATCTACAATGTGAACCACCAAAGCGTGTGATTGCATATTCTGTATTGAACACATATCCACTCATTTTTGCTAGTAATTAGATTTCCTTAAAATCATGATAGAAAAAACCAAAGCGGTAGCAGGCTCAATTTATGCCAGGGAATACACTGATTATTTAGTCATGCATAGCCTAGAAGAGTTTTTTTTTTTTTTTGGCTGGAAGGCTAACATCCGTGTTCAAATCCATTATACGTTCCCCTTCTAGCTAAAATCAATTGCAATTGCGTCGGGGTTGCTAAAGGTGTAATTTGCAAATGAAACAGCACTAGAGGGAATGAGAAAACTTCACAATGTGCTCTACACAGACCAACTTATTTACAATAATGAGTAAGTGATAGGTCATAAAGAAAAGCTTAAGAGGCTGAGACTAACAATTGAATACATTACATTGAGTCAACACAAAGAAAAAAACTGGCTACGAAGACATGCCATTTGTCAGCTTGGTACATAGAGGTAATCTATGACACCTGTGGCTTACTGTTATTAATTATTAAAGGTCATGTCAGAGACTAATATCGTGTTTCATTTTTGGAAATAATATATATTTCTGACCATGGGACACGTACTATGATGTAGAGTAAGTATTTTTCAAGAATAATAAAATACCCCTTCCATTGGAATAATTACACCTAGTAAGATTTGCTTAGTTAAACCAATGAAGACGGCCCGCAAAGATTTGAATTACTTTCGACCAATCAGGAAGCTGCGGGGAGGGGCTTAAAAGTGCTCATCTTCAAAACGTTCCTCTCTGACTTCACAGTTTGAATAGCAGCTGACACTCCCTTTAAAATAAAAAAAATGCGATCCTCTTTGCGGTGTTTTGAAAAGCATTGTACATAAACCGTATTGTATGGATTATTATTATTTTTTTTTTAAATAATTATCATGATTCATTGTCTAAAATTAATGAGCTGCAAACTTCCATACTCAGTCTTAATAAATGTGTGCGTACATCTGTATGTATGTATGGATGTTCATGTTATAAAAAGATTTCTTCATCCATACCTGTAAAGGATGAGGTCGCTGTGACTGTTATGTTTGGGCACCTTTTCCCCCCGTTGGTTTTATGTCTTATCTTTTTTTGTCCAGGTATTTTTGGGTTTTAGTTATTTTTGTAAGATTGTGTTTTGTATAAGTATATTTTATAGGTTGCATTTTTTGATAACGTTTTTTGTAACTTATTTTGTATATTTTGCAGCTCGGGTCGGGAGTATAAGAAGCGCTGTCCTGGTGCGCTCCCGCCCCTCTCTGCTCTCTGACTTTTGCAAACACCTGCTGAGGTGAGCGTGCACGTGCTGCGCGCTCCCTCCTAGTCCTGGTTTGCGGCCTCCCCAGACGCCACATGGTTTGGTTGTTGCTTTAGCCATTTGGTTAGCATTTTTTCCTTGTCCTTATTTTTGTTTGATCTGGTGGGTCCGGTGGTTACATTTTCGTTGGAGGGTGTAGCTAGTTGGGTTTTGTTTATTCTTTAGTTAGGGTGCCGGCATCGGATCCGGACGGCCCTGTATAGGGTTGGTTCGGTGTCGGCCCATTTTTGTTTGTTTTGGCTGGCCCACCAGGTCCACCTTTAATTTGATTACTTTGGGTTTTTGTATTCTGGACACGGGGTTGGTTTAATTTAATATTCATATTAATAACAACAAACTAGAGTTCAGTTAAAAGAACATGTATAAATAAAATCATTATTTTTGAACTCTAAACCTGTCTCTGTGTTCTTAAAATATGTTTTGTCCTTCGGGTCGTAACATGACACTTAAAAGGCATCAGATATCACAACATACACAATGTACGCTCAGTCGCTTCATGTGCATTTCAAACACAGAGTTAAAAGGCCACGGCTGCTCGGACAAAGCTGCATCTGGACCTTTTGATCCTGCTGTGGATGTTCATGTTGTAATGTTGTATGGACATTCATGTTGCGATACATGCATCCTGGGAAATAGATTCATGAAACAATAGTTAAAACATGCATAAATCATTTCAAAAATTACTTTTAGTGAGTACATGACAAGAAAAACAATTATAACCTAGTCAAAAGCGAGTTTGGCTGAGGGCCATTGATGAGATGTTTTGAACAAAACCCCCCAAAATTTGCACCATAGGTAAAATCCTCCAGTTCTGGTCGTCCTTAGCTATGGTCGCACTTGTGGCATTGCAGAAACGGTCAAATACAGAGGGAATAATGACTTAACCTTAACCCTAATGGCCATATTGGGATATTGGGGGGAAAAAAACAAAATAACAGCAATTGCTTTAGAAAATTGCATCATCTCAAAACTGTTTCCCCAATTGACCAAGTTCCTAAAGCTGAATTATCTACCATTTTAAATAAAGTCTTCGGGTCAAAACAGGAGGCAGGGAACACCAGAACAGCGGGGGGCTTTTAGTTAAAGTTTTTTTTCAAGTCATTTATTTTGAATATAGACGGATTTCTTTCAACAAAGGAAAGATGGAACTAGTGTTTAAGTAGCTCTACACAAGTATTTTTCTAACTGTGTTTTTGAGTTGTTCCTTGCCGATGCAGAAGGGTCTGAGGACTGTGATGATTTGCTACATTTATGAACATTTATGTACATTTATTAACACCTTTTGACTTAAGCATCCTGTTCCCTTTTGACCTATAGCTTTGTGTTTGTTATTACTGCATTTCCTTAGTTTGAACTTTTTGATTATCTAATGTGTTGAGGAATCTGCAATTTTCCAATACAAAAATACATTGAGTTGAATTGAATTGAAGTGTACACAGACGGGAAGATCATCAGTCCATAATGTTTTGCGTCGCATATTTAAAGACCTGCCCATTGATTTTATCCATGCATGTAATAGATCAAAAGTGGCGAGAACGCTGCTAACATCGCCGGCGAGCTGGTGAACCACACGCGAGGCAGGATCCAGGCCGGAGACGTCAGCTCCTCCGTCCGCCTCATCGAACAACTGCTGGATATTTTAGACGCTCAACTGCAAGCCCTTAGACCTGGCAACAAAGACCTGGCAACCCGCAACTACAACAAGGTAAGACAAGCAGCTAAGAAATAATCTCTGTGTGTGATCTTTAAAAAAAAAATCATCTTTCTTTTGTTTTCTTCTTTTCAGCTCCAAAAGCGTGAACGGACGTGCCGAGCCTACATCCAGGTATCTTTTCTCTGTACATAGCCGGCTACTATCGGTTACAGGCGTGACTAGGAATAGCCGAGCAGAGATAAATCCAGGACTAGACTAGTGGAATACTGCGGATGAGATTTCCGTGGCTCGTTGCTGCATCCTATGATTTATTCTCCCTTTGGAATCATCACTTATAAGATTTCTGGTTGGCTCTAGTGAGGAGTAGTGGGTTGTGTTTGGCTATTGCTCCTCGCTGACAGGATTAAAATGGGGCTGTATAGTGTCCCGTCGCAGATTTGTAGTTTTTCTTCCGCTTTTACTGGACGTTTATTTATCTGGAGTTACCATGCGAGCGATTTGTCACTGTCTGATTTCTACCAACGGTTCTAGTTATAACGTATTAACGTATCGAGTCCATTTTATTACTGTTCATAACTGTCCTGTTTGTAGTAGTACCGTTCAATACAGTAAGATAGCTTTTTTTGACTGATAATGAAAATATTTTTGGGTGTTGCAATGCCAAGTGCAAGAACAAAAGATATTGATCAAGGAAAAAATAAAATAACAATCGTATTCTGAAAAATATATATGAAATTAAAGTTACTGTACCTACTAATACATAATAATACATTTTGTTTGTCACAACGTAAAGAATTTTCTCAAATTTAATATCTTATTTGAAAACATTTTATCTTTGGAATACTTTGGGTCTCCCTTTTTCACTTTTCTATCTCAAAACGCTGACAGATATACCTAATCTGATTTTTGATGACTTAATGAATCATCAGATACAACACATAGCAAGTTGAGGTTATAAAATCGTCCTTAGGTTCAGTTTGACAACGTTTAAGTATCAGCAGCAGCAGCTTCCATTCGATTTGTACTATTATTACTGGTACATGTCTTTAGCCTGACGCAACATTTGTCGCAGGTTATAGCGAATTAATAGATTTGACTTTTATTGTAACAGCACATACAACACATTGAAGTATATTGAGCTGACTATATCAAAGCATTTACATTACCCTCTTCACAAATTCAACATAGAAGCTCTGGTTTAACATAGGCCAGCTCCCTATAATCTCACTTTATTCTCTTGGTCCACGGTTGAGCCTGAATGTGTAATATTGGCCCTATTTCTGATGCACAAAACGGCACAATATCTCTGGCTTTGAGAAAACCTAATTTGCCAACAGTATGGAGGGCAACAGTGTGTGCTTCTATACGCCCCCCCTCTTTGTGTGCTGCTCTTTCAACATTATTGCAATATGTGTGTTTCTGAGAAGGCAGTAATCTAATACGATGAAAAAGCTTGCGTGTATGTGCCTAGTGTATACGCGCCACCGTCTTGTGTGTTGTCCTGTCTGCTGTCTAAGCCGTAATATGACACCCATCTTCAGATCTGGCCACAAAATGAACGCAAAGGCTCCTGCGTAGTAAGCAACCCAGCAATTTGTTTTGTCACCAGCTGCAGCCTAAGCACAAAGATGAGAGGATATTGTCGTAGAATACACTCCACACAGGACAGAGTGTATATGGTAATGCTAAATTCATTTTAAAGAGATCTCACAACAGTCAATCCTTCATTTTGAGAGGCCTGAGCAAGAGAATTACGCGATTCATCAAGCCGGCTACTTCAACAAATTGGATAGCGAATAGGAGCGTCCAAATGGCCAATAAATGAATTGTAAGTGTGAAATAGAATAGAAGATGTCTGACCTGAAAAAGTTGTCAAATGAATAATCAGAGTGAGCGAGTTTGTTCAAAATAGATGCATCCCTGTTGGAGTAAATATACTTCTAGTTTTCTAAGTTAAATATCGTAATCAAGCGCTTTAGTGGCCATACCTGATGATAAACAGCAGCCTGATCTCATAAGCTAAGCAGGGAAGGTCTAGTTAGTACTGTAATGGGAGACCTCTGCGGCTGCAAATTGCAAGACTGTCATTGTGTCCTTAGGCAAGACACTTCACCCACATTGCCTAGTATCAGTATAGTGTGTGCATGAATGATCAATGGTGGTCGGAGAGGCTGATGGCATATACTGGTTACCTTGCTTGTGTCACTTGTGTCAGTCTACCCCAGGGCAGCTGTGGCGACAGTAGTAGTTTATTGCCACTGTGTATGTGACAACACAGAGTAAAGCATGTTAGAATGTTGAGTTAAGTGCTGTTACTTCTGAGCTCCAACTAATACTGACACTAATACTGCAAGAAGAAGGATATAACTGCTATGATTTAACATAATTTACCTCTTCAAATAATGTTACTGTAAATAAAATGAGATTTTAATAAGACCATAGCACAGTAGTGGCTTGTTCCTTCCTATACACACCTATAGAACTCACAATGGCTAATTATGCAGGAGCATGACACATAATGGAAACGTTAGCTGATAATTACAAAGTTGCTAATGCTAACAACACTTTCTGAAACAGTGTTAATGAAGCAGTCTCATGATTAGTTACGACTTATCTGTAAAGTGCATGCCAGGCACTTTCTTAATGAATTGTTCTCGATTAAGTCAAAACAATTCCTTCAATGGCACAAAAGCAATGATGAATTCAAGTCCACTGTGGCTTTTGGGAAAACTTCAGTCTGGTTTTTTGCAAGTTTGGAGCAGGCTTCATGTTCAGCTATGGCCACGGCTTTTTATGTAACCATGTTTTGTATTCCTGGAACAGTTTGAAGACTTTATAGTTTATCTTTTTCTTTAATTTGACAGCAAGTTCATGCAGGCCAACCATGTCTATAGGCCTTGTAAACCTTTGTTAAATATTTTCTATACAGACTGAAATACAGACCTTTGTCAAGATTCTTCTTACAGATTTTCACAATGGAATTCAAATTAAAATCGTGTGCGTTCCCTCAATGTGTTTAAGGCCGTGGTTCAGATCGTGGATAACCTGCTGCGTCCCGAGGCGCTGGAGTCGTGGCAGGACATGAACAGCACGGAGCAGGCGCACACGGCCACCATGCTGCTGGACGTCCTGGAGAAAGGAGCCTTCCTCTTAGCAAACAACATGTATGCCAACTACTTCACGGACCACGCACCCAGCATCGGTAAGTCGCCCCTTTGTCCTGCCTCACCACTGCCTTTACACTGGAGGTGGCGGAGTGGCAAAAGAAGGAAAAAAAAAAGTGCCAAAACTGGTAAGGTAAGGCAAGGCAAGTTTATTTGTATAGCACGATTCATACACAAGGCAACTCAAAGTGAACAAGATAGAGACAGTCACACAAGGAATTAAAATCATCAATAATCACAGTACAGTAAAAAAAGCAAAGATAAAATACCTCATATTTTGCAAACATATTAGACATTTTTAACATATTCAAGTCATTGTACAAGTTTAAGTATTATGACTCACAAAGTTGTTATTGAAACTAGTGAGTTGATGGATCTGGGTTCAAATCCTAGCCAGAACAGGGTCTTTCTGTGTGGCGTTCATGTATGCTCTTGCTGTGTCTGCGTCGGTTTCCTCTGGGTGCTCCGGTTTCCCTATACCGCTTTAAACGTGTACAGTAGGTATGAATGTAGTGAGTGAAAAGCTTTGGATGCCCCTGTGTGTTTGGCCTCTCGCTTCTGTCCTCAGCGTTAGTGGAGTGAATGGAATTCTGGTTAATTAAACACATAATAATTGGAACATTATAGAGATCATAAAATTGAAACGTGAACCAATGATATAAAAGGCACAAAAACCTTAATTTATCACATGCTCTAAAGTTTTTTCAAAGTTGTCTTACGAGCTTGCATGTATTGTAGCTATGTATTGTATTTATTTATTTGATCGGGACAACACACATTAATGAACAATCATATACAAGTTGTACACACAATTAATATTATTTCATATCTAATTCAAATTTACAATGTTCGCAATGCTTTAGAGTGATTCCTACATGTCTGACTTATTTATATTGGATTTACCTGCATTCAAAACACCTACTGTACTCCGATTTGTTTTCAACACCAAACACGCACATTTTTCTGAGTTTTACAGCCTCACAAATATCACTGATTCAAATTATCGCTGCTATCTCCGCTCACTCACCACATTTTACATTTGCAGATTTAGAAGTCCACGTTCTCAACACGGAGATGGAGCTCCAGGATCTATCGTTCCCGCAGAACTACGCCAGCGACAGCGCCATCCAGCTCTCTGCTTCTACCATCAAACAGTACAGTCGAAACGGTCAGGACCCCTCGTCTCTTCTTCTCCTCTCCCCAGGCCTGACCAATCACCTCTCTCTCTCTCTCTCTCTCTCTCTCTCTCTCTCTCTCTCTCTCTCTCTCTCTCTCTCTCTCTCTCTCTCTCTGCTCTCACATATGTGTTGCCATTTCCATTTTCACAAACGCTTTAAACAATCTGTACGCAGTGGGCTAAGTTATTGGTTCAAAATAATAGGCTAATCAGATTAACAAAAAAACGCTGAGACAATTCCTTTACTTGATGGATTCTTAACAGCGGTCTTAATAGAATAGCTTGGGAGGCGTGTAGATTACAATCGGAGCCCACAGTCTGACAGAGCCATCTCAGCACTCTCTCCCTCTCCGCCATTTTAACCCCCCTTACATCAGCCCCTCCTCATTCACTATCCCCCCCAGAACTCCCCCTCTCCTCCTTGGCTCTGTGGCGGGAACGAGATTAGAATGATTGAAACAATGCACATGAAATATTCATATGGAATAATGGGAGATCTGTGGATGCTTGAGGGATGACTGTAGCATTGCCCTCCACATTAAATGGCGCTCTCTTGCACCAGTCAAAATGAAACGCTCTTTACCATCGCTCCAACCTTCACTAAGTCCCCCGTTCCGTCTTCCCTCTCCCCTAGCCCTGTCACTTCCCTCTGTCTGTCTCCGTCTCTCCAGATCCCATTACCATATTATACCCTCATGCACATACATTTACTCTTATACCTCACCACCGCAATGTATTGATCCTACTGCATCTACGCTTTCATTTTTTTTTTTAAAGTGGGCCCTCTCTTTTATTTTCATCCAGGGCAAGTGAAGGTGGTGTTTCTGCTCTATAAAAACCTGGGATCGTTCCTGTCCACGGAGAACGCCACGGTGAAAATGGAAATGGAGTCGAGCCACGACCGGAGGCGGCTGGCGGTCAATTCTCATGTGATCGCGGCGTCCATAAACAAGGAGTCCAGCCGCGTGTTCCTGACCGAGCCGGTGGTCTTCACATTACGCCACTTACAGGTCAATACATGCACTAAATCACAGGCACACTCAAAGACCCAGATTAAAGTGTGAGACTGTGGTGTTTGTTACAGCGAGCACGGATTATATGTATATTCATTAATGTTTACATAACAGCTCACATGCTACAGAAGAAGTGCTTCATATTTACAGTAAAACATGCATACATTCACATAAGAGAACCTTTATGCTTCTCCCATATTTATATTTCCCAAGAAGGGATGTGTCTTTTTATTGATATATTTAACATTTAAAACATTGCTATAAAGGCACAACTTTGTAAATGAACTAAAATGGTAAAACAAAATTTAACAGAAATAGGACATTTTAACAAATTGCCGCCTTCCAAACAGATTCTCTCAATCATTCCTCACATTTTAATGATTTTTTTAGAGCCCAGAGCGATTTCTGCCGTCATTGACAGGAGCTTATGTGTGCTTCAGGTTCACTAATTACCATAACAACCACAACGTACACAAGGACCAATTCTCCACTCATTTACACAACAAGTATTGATATTTGAAAGCATCATTACCTGGGCAACAGTGGCTCAGTTGGTAGAGCATTGACCTTTGAGCTAGAAGGTCGTGGCTTCGAATCCACCATGAGACCTTTTCCACCGACTCCCACTGATGACTGCTGTCCTTGGGCAAGACACTTATTCCCACTTTGCCTGAAGCCCCCACTGAAAGATCAAGGCTATGCCATAGAGCGACCATCCTCCTCCTGGACTCACCACCTGCAGGAGGATCCCCCCCCCCCCACTCAGAAATGGATTAAGGGGCAGAAAATTGATGGATGAATGGCATTACCTTCTTTGAAATAACGTTTGAACAGTCAGATAATTTCTTTTTCTTTTTTTTCCACGTTTTGTCACAAACGGCCATTAAACTATAAATATTCAGCAGTTGTCGTGCCCCATATAATGTGTCCCATTCTCTCTGGCTGCTCAGATGGACAACTACCACAGCCCCAACTGCTCGTTCTGGAACTACTCGGAGCGCTCCATGACGGGCCAGTGGTCGTCTCAGGGCTGCAGACTGCTGAGCTCCAACAGCAGCCACACCTCCTGCTCCTGCAGCCACCTCACCAACTTCGCCGTCATCATGGCCCGACACGAGCCGGACGTGAGTGTCCGGAAAGCACTAGAAACACTGCTGCTATTGTGTGTTTGAGTCTCACCTGTTTAACACATCCTCATCCAGTGTTTCATCAAAGGATCCATCAAAAAAGATATTATTATGTCTCAGAAAATATGACCCCATTAGTTTGAAGGAGAACAGAAGCACATACTGTCCCTGATGATGGAACAAGTTAGACTCAGAGTTGGAGTTACTTTTATGCTGAACTTTTGCCGGTAACCAAAAAGAAAGACACAGTTGAAGAGAAAGCAGTTAATTCAGCAGTTCAGCCCAAAGCATCAAATAGTGTCTCACAGAGCTCTGTCTTAATAGTATACAAAAGATCAAATATTGTCTAATGAGATGTTAGTCTGAGTTATTCACAACATTTTTCTTCTACAAGACTTTCTGTTTGGACAAACAACATGTATTATTCATTACACATAATATTGTGTACATCATCTTTAATAGAAGAAACTTATTCCCATTTAAAATACTTCTCTTGTTCTTTAAATTACACATGTACTCATCAAGATAAGTACTTTAAGCACGTAAGAACTCATTTATTGTCCTTTCTGTGCAGTGCCGCACTTTTGCAGCTTCCACATCACAAGAAAAAGGGGAAGAAATGAGATGAAAACAAATAAATAAACATGAAACATTCTATAAGGGACGAGCGGAGGCGTATTCTTGTATGTTGTCTCTTGAAGAAGTAAATTATGCGGGTTTTCAGTATCACATGGATTCTTAGGTTGACATGGTCTTTGTTTTGATGTCCTCGTTGATGTTATTCAGGAATGCGTACAAATACATGTCCTGGAACTCGCATCTGACAACAACATGAATTTAAATTTGCTGTCTTCTCTCTTGTCTCCACACTTTAGTTCTTTGAATATATTTACAAACATTAAGTAAATCAACTTTTTTTCATCCCCCACTCCTGCCCATTGTTCTGCCTGTCCTGCTGCTTATTCCTCCCACATGTGTCTTGTCATCTGGTGTGACGTTTTAAACATTGCGTCTCTCTCTTTCTCTCTTTCCTCCGCCTCTTGTGTTCAGTACCAGGGGCGCATGCATGAGTTGATCCTGTTTGTGATCACCTGGGTGGGGATCGTCATCTCGCTGGTGTGTCTGGCCATCTGTATCTCCACCTTCTGCTTCCTGCGCGGACTCCAAACTGACCGCAACACCATCCACAAGAACCTGTGCATCAACCTGTTCATCGCCGAGCTGCTCTTCCTCATCGGCATCGACAAAACAGACTATCAGGTGGGTGTGTCCCTCGTGTTTGCCCGTTTGAAAGAGGTATTGACTGTTTTTACTTGGTGGTTTTCGTTCCGATCAAGCAGGAACACACCCATTGCATCAAGTGAGTTCAGTCCTATACTCCGCTTTCATGCAATCTTGGAAACTTTGACTTATCAGGGTCTTTCTGAGTGGAGTTTGTATGTTCTCCCCTTGTCTGCTCCGGTTTCCTCTGGGTGCTCCGGTTTCCCCTACGTCTAAAAACATGCACAATAGTTCTGGCATGCGACTCCTGTACTGGCGACCTCACTCCCATCTCTGTGTGGAGTGGGAGTCCAAATGCCCACAACAGTTGTAAAGCGCTTTGTGATTCTGGTCTGTGAAAGGCGCTATATAAAAAAAAGATTACTTACTTACTTACTTACTTACTTACTTATTGGAACAACAGCAATACAAATATTTGCAGAAATGAACCTAGATTATCTCTGTTTGTTATTAGGGACCAAGCAGTAAAGCACCAAGACAAAGGCTCACATTTTCCACACACATAAAAACGGTGTATTGGCCATAAACAAAACAGGCTATTAAAAGGGTCAAAAGAATAGAACTTTATACAGAAAGTAAATGCTAACCTGATCAGAACTAAAACAAACAAATTGATCTCCCAAAATGAAACATAACCCAACTTTTATATACTGCCCAGCCCTATTGCCCACAGCCGTAGCAGCCCACACAAGCCCGCCACGTTCTCCTCCTCTTCAAGTCAGGATGGGGCAAGGTTCATGATGTCCTCCTGTGGGGTGTAGCCATCACATTTGTTCATGAGAAAAACACAGAACCGTAACTGTTTTGATATGAGAAATACAGGAGCAAATGTGTAGTTTAATAAACAAGTACATCCTAATACTGTACATATACTAATTTTAATGCCAAACTTCAGTGGCTATGAATTCACAAATTAGTAAAACCTTGAGTGTACTAAAAACACATACTCTCTCAGTTCGACTCTACTCTTCCATCCAATTACAATCTGACACCTGTCTAAGTGGCACAAACTCGGGAACTCTGCGATCCTTGACAAGGCAGATTTTCTCTGATTAAACTCCTAATATTAACAGTCTTCATAAGTTCAGGAAATTCTCTACTCTTGAGTCTTGAGTGATCTGCACACAACATTTTCCAGACAACTCCCATTGAATCCTGCTCCCATATATTAAAGATGGAGGGTTGCAACTTGCTGGTCCCCATGGGGATGTTACATACTTTACACATGCAGCAGGGAATTTAATGTATCTATATTCATGAAGGCCAGATAGATATAGAAAAGCTTTCTCACGAGAAGAATGCACATTTTTTTCCACTATAGGAGGACCTCAGCACGAAAACAGGGGAAGAACATGTTCAAATGGCTTCTATCCCCCACACCTCAACCATGTAGCAGAGAAAAAACGTTGACAGAGAGAAGAACGGACAGGTGCCGTGTGTAGCTGAGGCATTAGCTGCTCTCGAATCTAAAACCCAGTGCAACTATATGGCACCTATAGCATCTTTAAAGCTGGTAATATATGTAGGATTATATTTTGAATACATCTTTCTGTGTCCTTGTGAATTAACTAAACATGTTCCAAACCAAAGTGGATTTTACAACTAAAATATTTGAATAGAAAGTGCATTTTGGATTGCATTCGGGAGCTGAAGAGGGTTAGGCCTATTTGCTTTTTGCTTGCGGGTGCCAGATCTTCTCAATAAGGCACTTAGGATCCCAGGTGCACGTGCGATTTACATGAAACTATTTGACAATTAAGCTACAGTATAGGCCCCATTTGTTTTTCTCCTTTCTTTTCTTTTACAAAGTTATAAAAACTGGTAAATTTCCATTAACTCTGCATTATGGCTGTTTTGTTGCGGTGCGATGGTGTGATTGGAGGTGCAAAAAGATCTGTAGCATTTTCACACAATAAAATTTTTCACTGAAACTGCTGCGCTGGATATACTATTTCACTGCTACTTGACACTCTACAAATTCCCTTTCTTTTAAAATGTCCCCACTGAGAGAGCAGAATGAAATAGAAAAATGTCTGGTGACAGATGGAGTTTCATTTTACCATATTGTAATAAAAACGGCTGTGAAATAATAAATGATCTCTCACAGAATATGCACACATGTCGCCAGCTCTTTTCTATTGTGACGAGCCCAGTTTTAATAAAGTTTAAAGGTTTTCATGTTAATTGTGATTGTCAAATGTGTACCGCTTTATTCTGTAAAATATTTAATTTAGAGTGAGTAAAAGCAGTTGGGTAATCGTCCAGCTACAGTAAATCCAAATGAAAATCTGTGGAAAGACTTGAAAACGGCTGCTCGCAAACTCTGTCTGTCTAATCTGACGGAGCTGAAGACAAATGGCTCATTGCACATCTAGAGACTGAAGGGCCAAACCTTCAGTCTCTAGAGGTGCAAAGCGTGCAGAGTCATAATCATATCAATTCAATTAAATGTTTTCTTGTATAGCCCTAAATCACAACACTATTTATACCGGAGGACTTTACAAAACCGTTGATTTTGATTTCACACTTCTTTCAAACACAAGAAATACAATGAAAACATACAGAGCCATTGGTCAATAAGGGGCAGATGACCCATGTCCAGAGATTTTGACAAATGTCCATAAATGTTTTTGAATGTTGAGTGTCCTGGATAATCACCTCTGTCCTCAAGCATCGGAAAGGACAAACTCTAATAAAGACATACTCAAATACTCCAAACTACATGCTGTGATAGTGTGTACTCATGTTGTATGAATATACTTTTTTCAGTCAAAAAAAACCCACTTGTTTTGCTTTCACTATATAGTTTTATGTTACTTTGTTGTGTTACTTAAAAAAAAAAAAATCTGTGTGTGGTGGTAGTTGTAGGAGTACTTAAGCAAGCGACTGTAATCCTACTACTAAGATCTTGGCTCAATACAGATAGATTTGTCCAAACCTAACTGAGTCCCTGGAACACATAATAATAATTATAATAATAATGCATCGGTTTTTTGTAGCGCTTTTTTGGACACTCAAAGACACTTTACACGTCATTATCTTTCACTCCATACACGGTGGTGTATGGAGTGAAACTACTACTGTAGCCACAGCTGCCCTGGGGCACACTGACAGAACCATTGGCTCCTCTGACCACCACCAACCATTCACAAACACACACCATAGTCATTCTAGGCAATGGGGGTAAAGTGTCTTGCCTAAGGACACAACAGCAGTTTGGCACTTTACAGCCGCAGCCGCCCCACTGTGGCATCAGGTGTTCCCAGAGGTTAAGTGTCTTACCAAGGACACAACGACAGCAGACAGTGCGAGTCGATGGTGAAAGTCTTGAGGAGGGCTCGAACCCACGACCTTCAGGCTCAAAAGACAATTATCTACCAACTGAGCTACTGTCGCACATAAGACATGGATGTGGTGTTTTTGATTCTGTTTAGTACTGAATCATTTTCCTTTTAATGTTATGAACAACTGCAAACTTTCAACATCCCAATCTTTCTCTGTATCTATGTATTCATGTATACTTTATTCATGAAGAAGAGATAACAGTGCCGCTTTATTCAAATCTCTTTTCTTTATCTTTTCTCTCTTTTCCTGTCACTCTTCAGATCGCCTGTCCCATATTTGCCGGCCTGCTCCATTTCTTCTTCCTGGCTGCTTTCTGCTGGATGTGTCTGGAAGGAGTGCAGCTCTACCTAATGCTCGTCGAGGTCTTTGAGAGCGAATATTCCCGCAAAAAGTACTACTACCTGTGCGGATACTGCTTCCCGGCGCTCGTAGTGGGCATCTCTGCTGCGATAGACTACCGAAGCTATGGGACCACGAAAGCGTACGTGTGAATCCAGGCCTTTTTGCACCTTTGCAGATGGAGAGACGCAGGATTAGGCTATTCCCGCGCTCGCCGATGTAATATGCAGAAGTGTGTTTGAACGGTCCTTGCACGCTCCCCTGTGGAACGCCTCTTTTTCCGAGCACACTTAGCCAAAGCCCCATGATTAGCTTTCATGAGATAATCCGCAGAGACAGGGAAGTGGTGTGAGCCCTCTGATGTCTGTGTGTAAAATTGTCTTCTCTCCTCTGTGCCACTGCAGATGCTGGCTCCGAGTGGATAACTACTTCATCTGGAGCTTCATTGGACCCGTTTCATTTGTTATTATGGTATTAGCCTCTCTCTGCCTCTCTTCTTATTTCTATATCACAGTCCAAGAAAAATCGTTATCGCCGGCATTACTCTGCCATGAAAAGATGAACACAGAAAGGTTTAACAAAATTGAAAGAAAAAAGAAAGAAAGTCATAGCTTGCACAGCCTTGGTCCTTTTGTATTCTATTTGGACAACTCCTCTAAACTTTTGATTTAATGACAACCCAAGTGAGAATAGTATTAAAGCCATATCTCAAAATGGTACAGAATTCTTTGGGTCAAACACTGACTTTTCAAATCATTTTTGACATTTCTTCATGGAAACTATGCGGCAGTAGTAATTGTGTGCATACAAATGTACAGTCTAATACATGCATATATGAATTATTAAAGATTTTTGTCTCTTCTCAGCTCAATCTAATGTTCCTCATGGTGACATTACATAAGATGATTCGTAACTCCTCAGCCCTGAAACCTGACTCCAGTCGCCTGGATAACATCAAGTAAGCCCCAATTATTTACCCGCTCTAATAAAGTATTTATTATATTACTTTATTATGTACATATGCTGTACATATGATCGACTATGCAGAAAAATCCTCCACTCGAGATATTGGTTCAACAGTTATTATTTATATCCCACCCACAGCATGTGCATACGGTGCATATTTATTATAGAAACGCATACTGGGATGCTTCCAATTGCAAGAAGTTGTAATGCAGCAATTATGTGTTTCCACTACGTCATTTAGTTAATTAAAGGGGCTGTATGTAATATCTAATCGTACAGTTACAATCCAATAGAAAATCTGTGTATTAAATATGATATAATATATTATTATGTAAATTGTGTTTGTGTATCTTCTTTGATTTAAATAGATTTGTGGTGTCAGCAAAAAAAAAACAACACATTTTCACCTAATGAACTGGCAACCCCAATAAGAGCCTCATTGTACCTCCATTGTATTTTTAATTAAATATAACTCCACTTCAAACTTTTGTTGGAATATATTTTTTCTACATGCTGATTCAGGAACATATAGAAAAGATGTGGATGCAATTTAAAATTAAAATATTCCATACATATTTTTTTCTAACTCCATATTCAACTCTTTACAGTGTTTTTTGATTATTAAAGCATCAGTCAAGATTCCTTCAATATTAACTGGATTTAGAAATGAAACTTTACTCCTGCAAAATTCTGTGAGGTCACCATTGTAGCGGGCCCCTAATCGTAATGTAGCATGAACTAAAATGACGTATGTCCTGTTCAGATCTTGGGCTCTCGGGGCCATCACTCTGCTCTTCCTCCTGGGGCTCACCTGGGCGTTTGGACTCCTCTTCATCAATGAGAACACAGTGATCATGGCCTATCTCTTCACCACCTTCAACGCCTTCCAGGGAATGTTCATCTTCATCTTCCACTGTGCTCTGCAGAAGAAGGTACCGTCCCACCGGCTTTTGTCGACTGCATTCATAGAGTTAATATTAAAGTGCTATCGGAGACTTATCTGTGTTGCACCAATATTGTACTTTTTTGACCCATCCTTATCCTATCACTTTGTATTCACAATTAAACCACGTCAGATTCTTCCAATTCACTATTATTACTTAAACTTGCTAACTTTTGAACCAAAACAAAATTCACTTCAGAGACTTCATATAAGATGTAATTACAGAAATAAGAGTACAATATTCAGTTAATCTAGACTCAATCCTATGTATATAAAAAGTAATTGACAATCCAATTCAATTTCCAGTTTGAATAGGTAAGGGAAATCCGTTGTAAAGTTTTGAAAAGGAAAAGTTTTTGTGTCAGAATTATTGATGTTATGAAGAATGTAGGATAGCCACTCCAAAAATCACTTTTTCCCCCATTGAAGGGTTTGTGATTCAAACTTTGTCATACTTTTATGAGGTAATTGAGCAGGGCAATGGAATAAAGATGTACTGGGTTTACTCGAGATTCCAAGTTGTATATTTGAAAGCAATTTGAAGTGATGGATGATACTGGAGAAAATATGACTTTTTGTACTCTAAAATGACCAAATGTATCTGAAGGTAGCAGGGCAGCGTGCTTCAGAATGTACATGTCTTATTCATGGCGTTGCATTAAGTACATTTCCCTGTAGCAATGTGTTAAAAGCCTCTCCTCCTGAAAGTGTTTGTGTTTACGATTATAGCTGTGTTTTCTGCAGGTCCATAAGGAGTACAGTAAGTGTCTGCGCCACTCGTACTGCTGCAGCCGCACCTCCACCAGCAGCAGCTCCCACGGTTCCATGAAGAACTCTGGCCTCAGAACCAATAACCGCTACTACAGCGGCAGCCAGGCCCGGCACGCCACGGCTCACCGGCAGGTAAACAGCCTCCCCACCGACTGCAGCTAAAACTATTTCACATTATGTAACTCAGCAACAACAGGGACTGAATATCGCTCATAACTCCCGAGCAGCACAGGAAACTTTTCTGCGGTTTTACTTTTAAATACTTAGACTTCACCTGAAATATTTCACTCTGAGGTCATGGCAGGTTAAAACTAAATACATGTATTCAGATTAACTGTATTCAGAAACACAGGTTTAGTTTAAAATTGGCTAAAACATGTGCAAAATGTACTCATCAAAATAGTATTATATGGATTAATTAGATCAACAAACACAAACTTGTTGATAGTCATCGTTTTTCAACAATCATTTGTAGTTGAAAAATTATATGACATAAAATGGAAGCAGTATTTATAATATTTATATGTTACAGAATAAAGCATTATAAAACATACATTTAGTTTAGTTCAATGTTTGCCATTTCTATTTAATTAGGGTTTTTATTCATTGTTCAAATTCATGTTAAATAAAAAGTCCCTTCCTGTTAGCGAGAGGCCTCTCCACAGATCTGACCTGTAATGTCACTTGTTTGTCTCCATACAGTGTTAAATGTCATGTGATGGAACATTCTAGATTTGGAAAAGTTTGTCTATGTATTTCCACCAGTGAGGGCACAAACGTGATCTGATCTTATGTTATACTTCCTTAGATGACGTTAGATCAGAAGGTCCAATACCCTCTGGTCACTAATATTGATTCTTTTCACAGATCATCTTTGCTTTTCTTCCCCTGACTTCAACATGACTTATAAACTTTCCCCTGAACAATGTTATGCCTGATTAGTCTACAAACAATAAAATATAAATGGTATTCCATATAAAAGACAGATTTGGCCACATATTTCACCTTTTTCTTGGCTATCCACATCTCCAGGGCTATAAGACTGTTTATTCCCCTTTCTTCTACCAAACAAAACCAAATCTGCTTGTGTGTCAAAATAATTTCTTCACAGGAAATGGAGTTGCCTCAGTACAATGAAATGAAAAATCTCCTGATGCTATCTTAACTTATTTCCAAGCTCGGACAAAATGAATAGGCGTATGAAAAAAAACAAAGAAATATCCTGCTGATATATGCTACACAGATTTTTGTTTTCGAGTATCACAAATAATATCAATGAATGATTGCTCTCTGCATGGTGCCAATGTAATCTTTCATCTCTCCTTTCAAATATACAGTCCCAATAGTTTTCTGGCTAAGTTTGTGAAATTATTTATTTGCCTTATTCTACGCTTGTGTGATTTTCTTTTATGTGGTGGTAACTGTCAGCGGCGCTCGTTCGGTTTGATGACTCATACCAGGGAAAATCATGGAAGTGGTTGTTGTTATAGATCGGCGATGTGGAAGTACTGTACGACACGCTGTTTATTCTCCCAAACACAAAGGCTTCCTGTATTAAGCCGCGACCCCACTACAAATGTATCTGCCGCCGAAATCGTGTCAGACATCTCCCGATTATTAGACTCCTCTTGATAAGGTGACACACAACATCGACATTTCGCCTCTCTCCATCGCCGCCTTTGTTTTCCCATTGTTCTTAGCGGATTAGAGAGACCCCCGCGGTTCTGATTACAGCTGCCCCACTGAGTTACAAAGTCTCGCCGCCAACTTCCCGCTCCCGTGTTGATATAACTTGTCTCTTCTGTCTCTCTCCTTCTCTCTCTTTCTTTTTCGCCTGCTCGTTCTTCCAGAGCCGGATCCGTCGGATGTGGAACGACACGGTCCGGAAGCAGTCGGAGTCTTCGTTCATGGCGGGGGATATCAACAGCACCTCAACGCTGAACCGCGGTGAGCCCTTGTACTGTCAGCAGCCTCTACTTCCGCATGGCTGGCTTTTCAACCCACTATTCCCAAGGACACACACACACACACAAGCAGTGCACGGAAACCCAACCCTACCATTGGTCAGCCCCCCATGTGTCCAGAACCCTCGTCAATTAAGTGTAAACCTTCAGTTCCATGTATTTTTATCAACTATTTTCGACTTAAATCACGTCACATTTTTTCAATTCACAATTATTACTAAAACTTAATGTACCTAACTTTTGAACCGTTAAGAGACTTAACTTAACTTGGAGAATTCAATCTTCGAGGATGTAATTACGGAAATAAATGAACTTTTCAACGATATTCTAATTTCCAAAGTTTCACCTAAGATCAGATAAAATAAGATAAACCTTTATTCGTCCCTCTGTGGGGAAATTTCTATGTCACAGTTGCTCACGTTACAGCAGAATCGAAGGAGAAATAAGAGAACTCAGATTATGCTCACATCAAAGATCTATTATTAAAATATGATAAAATAATGAAATAATTAGATAATAAACTCTGGAGAAAATTGCACTTGGGTCAAGGATAAGTAGACTGTATGTAATAAAATCCATCTAACTAGTCCCACAGTTCTATCACGAGTTTTTAAGTGATGAAAGTCTGTAGTTTGCCTGAATATCAATTGTTCTCACAACTTTTGTACCTTCTCCTTGTTGTATCCAGTATACATTTCTACTACTTTAAAAACATTTGCAGACGAGAAAACAAAGCTTAAAACTGCAGGAGAACGCTTGCCCGATGTCACATGGACAAATACAGGTTTGGAGCAGTTAGCCATACTTCTAAGTGAATTCATGCTTCAGACCTTTAGCATTTAAATGTTAAATTTATAGTTTTATTCTGAGCCAGAATGAAACTTTTCTCAAGGGTTTAACAATGGTTTCCCACGTCACAGAAGTCCTAAATACCATATCGTCTGTTATATACTGTATATGGTGCACACTGGGGTAGTCTTGCACAGTTTTTCCAATGTGGTTTTACTGCAAATGGCAAATATATTCTTTATTTTATCACTATGATAATACTCATGCCACCTTTTCATTGTACAGCGCTGCACATAGACAATATATGAAATTAAATCGATTAAAAACAACCCAATGTAATGAACTCAGATTTAAACAAAGCATAATCACAATGAAATAAATAAAAATCAGAGGAACACTCCGCTGACTCTGCGACAGAAAGCCCCAGATTAAAAGCTGCTGTTTAATTAATGCTGTAATTGATAAAATAATTGCCCTAAATTGATTTCAAATGTTCAATCTATCCACTACACGGGCTTGAGATTGCATTTTGCTGCCCTGTGGCAACTCCAGCCCCGTTTGCACCAATCTCATCCATGTACAGTAAATGAGGCAGCAGCCACCTTTGACCCACGCTCCGCCGGCTACACTTGTATTTGGGAGACGGAGACGGGCAAAAATGCCACTTCTTTTCACCTCTGGATAGATAGACAATCAGGGTTCGGCGGTGAAAAACAGCGGCAGGTTGAGGAAAAGGTTTAGCTCCGCCGATGATGATGACACACAGGCAAGTCTCTAAATCAGCCGTCACTCTGTATGCTAATTTCATCCATTTTGTTTTTAATGAACTGATTAGCGTGCGAGCGAACAGGGGGTAATTATTCTAATTGAGGAGAGTGACAGGAGCGAGGCAGGGGGCGATGAAGATGGGTGAGGAAGAGGAGTCGTATGTGCCGGGATAAGACTGGATGAGGAAGTCGTGGGGGGGAGGGGGTCGTCACGATACAGCAATCAGCAAACACGCAAACCGGCAAGTGTTGTGCTGTCAAACAAGAGCACAGCGGAGCATCTCCTTCTCCGTGGAGTTTGTCTGGGGTGAGGAGGGGTGAGGAGAGGCAGAGGGGTGAGGAGTGGGAAAGGCAGAGAGGAGAGATCTACATGACGGATCAGTCCTGAAAGAAGCCCCAGTCTAAACCAGCGCGGCCATTAACTGCATTGTGCTTTGATTTTCACTCTTGACTCTTGTTTGAACTGCAGTTTCCATCTGACAATAGTAATATGTCCAATAAGACAACCTGTGAAAACAACTTCTCCCCTGAGAGAAGTCTCCTGTCTAAGAGAGACTTAGATTTGATCATAACACACAGAGCTTTGTATTAAACATATCCGACATGTTCAAACGCAGACATTTTGTTCTGTTAAAGGGGCACTAGACATCACCAGTTTAGAATTCATTCTTCAAGCACCAAAGAAGAATTTTTGCATGATCTCAAATGACGGCATTGGTATTCACCGCGGTATTTCCTGTTCAGATCTTGGGCTCTTGAGGCCATCACCCTGCTCTCTCTTCTGGGGCTCTTTCTCCTGAGGCTCTTCTTCCTGGGGCTCTTGCTTTGGACTCCTCTTCATCAATGAGGAGAGCCTGAATCCAGGATACTTTCCATACAGCGACCTGCCTTCCCACAAATAATTCTTCTTCCATGTATGGATGGATTATGTGATGCATTTATATTTAATATTTTAGCATAGTCCTCTAAATCTTATACAGTTTCATGTCTCCACCATTTATCTGTTTCAAATGTTGGAATAAAAGCCCAAAGGGTTACTCCTTGTTTTAGGGCTATTTGTAAAATATCCATACCATAAAATCTGATTCAGTTGACGAATAGGTATTGTAGGAGAAATGTGCACTTTATTTATTCCTGTATTTGACTTATCCTGCAATGCCACTATAGGGCTGCAATCAGGAGCAGTGGTCGCCGTAATGCAGCGCCGGGGACCCATCTCCACATGTTGATACTCAGCTCGGTCAGGACTATATCGGAGCTGGAAGATTTACCTATTGTGCAGGTTTTTAGTGGTTGGGGAAACCTGCGCAAACACAGGGAAAACATGCAAACTCCACTCAGAAAGGCCCTGTTGCTGAGAAGCAGGAGTGTGATCCACTTAACCATCGTGCCGCCCTAAAGATTATGTATTTGAAGTGCTGTAAAGTGCTTTACAATTGTGGGCATTTGTCCTCTCACTCCACACAGAGATGGCAGCGGGGTCGTACAGGTTACTGGTCATACAGGAGGCGCATGCTAGACCTACAGTATTGTACATGTACTGTAAACAAGGAGGAAACCTACACACATGGGGAGAACATGCAAACAGGCCACCATGGTGTAATTCAATGTTATGTGGGTTATTGAAAAGGATTAACACATTCTATATCCAGTTTGTGCAATATATATTTGCGTCTCCTTTAAAGTTGTTCCCAGTGCTCCAGTTGCTCAATGATTACGCACATGTAGTGAGAATGTAGATTTGGAGTACCTCCTCATCCCATTAGCATCATTATGAGTCTCGCCATACAACAGAACACAATGCACTGACTGAGGGATCCGCGCACATTTGCATAAAAGCTTCATATTTCATGCATTTAGTCACGGCTCTTGTTCGGATGCTTTCATGGTATTTTATCCTTCCGCCCCCCGCTGTGAGGGATCAAACCAAAGCCCCTGCCGAGCCCCGTGTACACATACTCTTATTACGTACACAATGCGCTGCAGATCCCAGCTCAATCTCTGTTGTGGATAAATTAAAAATCTGGCTTGAGAACACAGCTAATTGAAGACACAGTTGAGCAAGCCAGAAGATGTATGATTGTGCCAAAAAAGACGGGCCGGGAGTGGAAATGACAAATAAATGTTGGAGTGCCAGCACATTTTTCTGTTTTCCGTTAGATTCGCTGATGTCTCTTTGTGTGATGAACGACGCACACTAGACCTGAAGGTTGCCTCTGAATACTCTCCGTCATGCTGTCCTATTTTTAATTTCATGCCATTTCTGTTCCAGTTGCCTCAGGCTGCCGACATACATGGACATTACACAACACTGTGCCATTTCCTTGAATTATATTTGCCTTGTGTTGTTGGCATTTACATTTCCAGTGTGAAATTAACTATGTTTCAATGGCTGCACCCCAAGACTACATAATGGCATGCAATAGAGTTTTTGCCCCCCATCTCGCCACATTGTCATGAGTAAAAGGAAGGCAGTGAATAAAAATGAATGGCAATGCTTTTAAACATTACCTGTCGGCTGCCATTTTATTTGTTACTCAAAGGTTACAATCAGCAGGCGTAAACATTCAGGGCTACTGTGAAATGCATTCCTCCATAACGGCGCGACCTAATAAAAAATAACCCCAGAATGAATAAACAGTAAATATTTTTATGATCGCGCATGTTATTATTGACTCTGTGAATTGGCTACACCTATTGAGAGCGGAGGCTGAATGCGAATGTGTTTGATTGTGTTTTTGTTTTGTGTTTTTTTAGCGACTATGGGAAACCACCTCTTGACGAACCCGGTGCTGCAGACGCGCTCTGGCACTTCCCCATACAACACGCTGCTGGCGGAGAGCTTCACCCCCCCCTCCCCTGGCGTCTTCAACTCCACCGGTTAGCACTCTGCGTACAGCTTCCCCTTCTCTATGTCATGTGTAAAATGTACATATATGTGTGTGTATGTGTCAGAGTGAGACATGGTATGCATTCACACAGCTGTGGTCCCGCGTGCGCTTCATGTACCGGCGTCTTTTTCCCGAAACGATGTCGCTGTCAACTCGACGCACCAGACCAAACACAACAAAGCCAAGCACCAGAATCAGCCGCCATCTGCCCAGATCCAGTCTCCGCAAAAAAAAAAAAAAAAACAGGCACAAATTGATTGGAACTTTAGTTACAGCTGCGCCTGCCAGAAAATGCCGCACTTTTCCTCTGCTTCCTCCTCTCTTTGTGGAAGTAAAGTCGATTAGACGACAGTGGCTCAGTGGAACCTGGAGTGTGTCTGAATGAGGAGAGCACCAGCCAAAACACACAATTCTTTGTCCGTGTTTATTTTAACAACAATATTTTGTTTTGGTTGCCCAGTAGAAAAATGGGTTTTCCTCTAATCTATCACAATTTTGCTTCAATGGTTTAAGTCATTAAAAATGGGCAAAAATAATTAGGAAATTGTTTGATTATAGTATGACTCCGGGAAGAATTATAACCACACTAACAGCATGTCTCGATTTCAGAAACAGTGTGCAGCGGGCTACTTTTAAATCCTTTTCCACCATGAACCGTTCGTGCACAAGCTAAGAATTAAATGGGGCCACAAAGACAGTTGTAACTTTAAAAGCGCCGCCAGTGTATACAGCATTGTGAAACTCATGAGTATAGCAGTGTCACGCCACAAAGTGAGGAGTAGAATGAAGGCCGCTTTTGTTCTTAATATTTTAGAGGTTCTCTGCACAATACGTCAGGTCTGATGGCCACGGGCTCGGCAGCCAGGACGTTTTTAGAAGTGAGTGGGAGAGGAAGTGTGCGGCACGCCTCATTACAATGTCTAATTATCCACTGCACTCCAGAAGAAGAACTTGATTAAAGTCAAACTCTGCATTAAATTTTAACAATAGACATGATCCTCGGCGTCTGAAGGAGAAGCCTATTCTAATTCTGCAGAGATACGGTTTGGTGCAGTGATGGTAGAATAAACACTGCTGACTTTTGCCACAAAGCGATCATTTATTCCTTCAAGCATCTCTTGGACAACATTAAAACATCAAACTTACTTTAAAAGGGTTTCTGAGAGTTTGCTGAAACATGACAGTGCTGTGGGCTACAGCAGGTGGATGGGAGAGTGATGAGTGGCCATCTTGAGCCATCATAGCGTTGATGTTAATCTTCTGAAACATTGCAAACTAATTTCATTATGTTAATTTGACATCACTTACTAAGCTTGTACCTTCTAATTGTTTTGCATGACTTTCCCTCTGATGCGCAGGAACCTTTCGTGACCCAAGTAAGTGTAGCTCACCACAGTTCACTCTTCTGTAAGCGCCTCATCTTATATATAACATATAATGTCCTTTTGTGTCACTGAAGAATAATGAGTGTGTGTGCTGTGTGTGTTTGGGTCCAGAGAGCACGCTGTCCAAAGGCCGCGACCCCTGTGGGATGGAGACCCTTCCTCTCAATGGTAACTTCAACAACAGCTACTCCCTGCGCACGGGGCCAGGGGCAGGGGGCAGCTGTGACTTCCTGAGCGCAGACAGGAACAGCCCTCCTATGCTGAACCATCGCGGGGCAGAGACGCAAGGGGGTGGAGTCAGGAGAAATCTGTCAGACGCTGCAGCCTTTGAGAAGATGATCATCTCAGAACTAGTGCACAACAACCTAAGAGGAGGAGGGGGAGATCAGGGGGACAGAATATGTGCTAACATGAGCCGCCCTCATGCAGGGCTGGGCCGGGGCCCAGTGGAACAGTCTCTGAGCCTGGATGAAGACGAGGACTTCCTCAGGGAGGGGCACCAGCGCCCCCCACCGGACATGGAGCTGTTGTACAAAGCACTAGAGGAGCCGCTGTTACTGCAGCAGGCCCAGTCTGTGCTGTACCAGAGCGACGCAGACGAGTCTGAGAGCTACACAGCCGACCTAACGGAGAGCCTGGGACACAGTGCAAACAGTGGGCAGAGCGCGGGGGGGCAGGGGGGCAGCAGGGGAGCTGACTCCCCCGCCCGTGACTCCCTGTACACCAGCATCACCAACTTGCGAGACTCTCCCTACCCCGGCAGCAGCCCCGAGCCCCTGGAGGTGGTGCCGCGGTCTGCACAGCCCCCGGAGGAGCTCTACTACAGCTCGGGACGTCCCGCGCTGGGATCTCGCGGGGCCCCAATGCAGACCTTCTATCAGGCTGCGCCGCGGAGGCCCAGCGGGGAAGGTCCCCAGGCTCTGGAGCCCCCCCACAGTGAGGGAGACGGACAGATGCAGCTGGTCACAAGCCTGTGACTGAGGCCCAACAGGAAGCTGGGGACTGCTGTGATGGGCCCGCCTCCTGCCTCGCCTCTCTGATGTTTGGATGCCTTTTATCTCTGACTCTGATTTACCTAAAGGTGACCTTTAGGGGGTGTTTTTGACCCCCATACTGCTGGAGAGGTGCCCCCTCTCCTATACGCCCCACTTTCCTGTGGTTCTTTAAGGCCAAGTCCAGCGATCTGAATGTACCTGTTGCCCCTTTTACCTTCAGATATGTATTTGTTAAGGTTTTTATGTAATTTATCTTCAAACCTGCCTCCACAGATGAAAATATCATTTTGTATTTTTTTCCATTTCCTTTTCTTACCTTCCATGGTTCATTCTCTGATAGGAGTAGACGACTGTGGAGAGAGGCCGTGTAGTACACAATTGTAACCTACAAAATCATGTCACTCAAAAATCTCTTTATTGTTGCCAAAAATATCTTGTATTGAGCCAGAAAGAAAGGAGAACTGTCTCAAAGCAAATGTGCACACAGCCACTCATCAGAAGTGCTCATTGTGGAGATCAGAAGGTGCAGAGTACAGGGAGGGACGTTTCAGTGGAGTTGCCTTGATGTTCTTGCTGTGATAGAATAATGAAGATGAACTGTGTATAAAGGGGAGGTAAAATGGACTCTTATGTAAAAAGGAGACACTACCCTCTACCTGAGACTGGCCTCTCTGGTCATTTGCTTTTGGCATTTGAAAATGACTGCATTGCTATTGTTTTTTAAGAGAGTATTCAATTTGTTGACTTTTGGGGTCTCAGGGCCCTCAGGACTTTTGTGTTCAGCCTTGCCAGCTGGAAGTGGACTTGTTCTTGTGTGTGGTTGTGAGAAACCAAATTATGAAATGCCACAGATGCACTGGTTATTGGTACAGTATAACGGTGTACATAGGAGCCACACAAGAATCTACTTTATTCCTACCATGTAAATAGACACACCATGATCAAAAGCAACAAAAGCAGCATAACTTGAGATATTAGTTCTTGTATTTGCAACAAATCGAAGACTGAAATAAAAATGTTTTGGAGTTTGTGACTGAAGTACATTACTGTCTCGTTTTCTGGTCCCTTGCTCTTTTGTGCCTGACACCACGACTCCGAGTGAGTGTCCGTGAGGTAACATTTCTACTGGAGAGAAGGTTGGGTCACTAAAACAGGCTTTTAGAGCTCTGACTGTGTGGACAGGTTAGCATCTGAAAGATTGCATACAAAAAGAGGTGAAAAGGACATAGATTTGGTTCAGTTATCATGAAAAGGATTATTTCTCTGAAGTCAGTATCGACGCACATTACAAACAGATAGACTGTACAATACACAACATTTCTGATGTGTGTTCTTGTTTAGGCTGAAGCATTTCAAATATAGAATTTCAACAGGTGACTGCTTAATGTACTGGTCTGGGGTCTATTTTAAGTTCAACCAAAACAAATACTTTTAATTTCCCTTAGCACAGATTATGTTCTGTCTCAAAAGAGCAAGCACCATTCCAAAATCACATTACCCTTACGTAACATTGTTCAAATCAGGAATACAATCTTTATCATAAAGATTAGACTCATTCAAAAATCAAATCCAATATTCCAGAGACATTTAAGCTGATTTGAGATTTTAATCACGCTACAACATTCTTCCCAAATCAAAAACTGGAGTTGTTTTCAGATCTATTCACGATAATATCCGGAACTTCCAGCACAAGCATATAACCTCGCCTCTTCTGTCTAAAAGCTCCAGTAAGTTCATGATGTCATTGTATAAAGTGACAATACAACATTTCCGATCACATGGTAGTTGTTTGCAGCCGGTAATTTTCAAATTTGGAAAAAAAAATCTACACCGCCCCACTGTGCCACCTGGTGTTCCCAGAGGTTAAATGTGTTTCCAAGGACACAACGACAGCAGACATCAGTGGGAGTCGATGGAGAAGGTCTCGCGGTGGACACGAACCCATGACCTTCAGGCTCTGAGGCCAATGCTCTACTAACTGAGCTACTGTCGCCCTAAATCCAGATATCTATCTATATATACAGTAGACTATTACTGGATATAGCCACTAGTGCTGGAGATACCACTACTATAATAAAAAATAAACTATAACTAGAAATAAACAAACATCATACATAATAGACAGATGTAGGGATATAGTCTGAAAAACTAAATTTAAACTAAGAAACAGATTAGAAATGAGATATACCCTAACCAGGTGTTTTTATCTTCAAAGCAAGCTGCATTTTGCTGATCTACCGCACTTCTTTCATTGAGTACAGTTCAGTGCCATTTTAGACTTGACATGCTTTTTGCGTTGGACCCTTGAACTTTCCTGGGACGATGAGCTGGAGGCGTCTGGGGAGAGGGAGGTAGGAGGTGTTTGAACAGTGAGACACATGCAGCCAAATGTCAAACTGTGCCTCCGAGGAGCAGAGAGGCATTGTGGGAAACAACGGCGTCCATGAAGCAATTAGGTTCCGGCTTGTGGTATTTGCAACACACAGACATGCTCCACGCTACACGGAATTCTCATGTACCTCTGCCTCTAACCTAGTGTTTTGTGAATCAACAAAGAGTATACATCACAATAAAACAAAAAAGGGAGACTGGAAGGTCTGGAGTTAGTTTGAGTGTTTTTCTCAAAAATAGTGTAAAGCGCTTTGGCTGATCTTGGTCTGTTAAATTAGCTATAAAAATAAAGATTACTTACTTACCTACCAATTAAAGTATGCCTATTTGGTCACACTTCTAATCACTTGATGAAGCACAGGAGGCAATCAATCTTCCAAAGCCAAGGAAAAGGTTTTTTTTTTCCTCCGCCGGTGAGTAGAGAAGACAAAGTGTTTTTCTTTGTTGCCACTGAATAAAGAATGTTGCTAGAATAATGTTTTTGTAAAGAAGGATTTAGCCGAGTCTTGTATGATTATGTCGGTCACTTTTGTCTTTTTGTTTTCATACATCGCCTCCACCTGTTTGTCTGGGTGTATCAACTCTAAACTGTGCTATTTATGTAATTATTATGTTTTAGGGTTTTGCGTTCATGACCAAGAATACTTCACTGGTTTGAAGACATTTATCAATCAATCAATCACTTTCATATATAGAGCCCTTTACAACACTCAAGGCGACCAAAGTCCTTAAAATAATAATAAATTCACATAAAAATCCATTCAAACATGTATGCATTCAAACAATAAAACAAGCATAAAAAAAAGCTTTAAGATATGAAGCCAGTCTGAATAAAAAAGTTTTGAGCCAGGCATATCATGGGGCAGCTTCTTCCATAGTCTGTGTCCAGGACTGAGAAAGACCGGTCTACCCAGTGTTTAGAATAGATCCATGGTCTTCCAGGAGGAGTTGAGATGAGGACCTCAATGAGTCATGAACAGTCAAAAGTTTGGACAAGTACGGAGGGGCAAGACCACCGAGGGCTTTAAAAAAAAAAAAAGGCTTTCAAAAATACATTTTCGAAACGAAAATGTATGACTAAACCGAATAATTTATTGACACAAGGTTTTCCAATGAGAATAGTATTGTTTTCATACCACACTGGCAACATATAAGAAATGTTGTTGATGAATAGAAAAAATGATATGTTTTACGCTTTTACGATTGATTGAATAACTTCACAGTGTTGGGGGCGACAGTGGCTCAGCCTTTGAGCCTGCAGGTCGTGGGTTCGAGCCCCCACCATGAGACCTACTGCACAACTCCCACTGATGTCTGCTGTCGTTGTGTCCTTGGGCAAGACACTTAACCCCACTTTGCCTGAAGCACCCGCTGAAAGATCAAGGCTCCTGTGGACTCATCACCTGCAGGAGGATCAGTGAGGGTACTGGGTGCAGCTCTGACTGCCACCCCCCCGACCCAGAAATGGATTAAGGGGAAGAAAATGGAGGGATGGATGGATGGATGTACAACTTGTATATGATTGTTTATAAGTAATAAAATAAGTACACATAATTTTATTTCCAATGAGAATAAATTGGAAATAAATTTATTCTGAAATGATCATAAAGAAACTCACTTTCTTTTTAAGTCACACATCGAAGCAATTTTTTTTCTAAGAACCATTTCGCTTCACAAACACCAGTCTCCATTCTCCAGTTTCTGTTATGCGTGTGTATTCTGTTGATATGGAACCTCAAAGCCCACACTGAATCCAAACTTATTTCAGGTATTATGAAAAACGGCATTGGTCTTTGCGAGGCAGGTGGAGGGACCAGACTTCTCCGTGACTTGAGACAAAGAGCATGAAAATGACAAGTGGCTTTGAATGATTGAGATAAACACATTTCCAATATGCCGGCGTGCGTGAGGCGTTTGAGGAACGACACGTCAAAAGGAAAATCCATTGGTGCGGCTATTTCACCTCGCCACATCTGCGTGACCTTTAAAAGTGTTCTGCGTCGTGTTTATAGCGGCTATGGTTTATTTCTTTATGTGTGTTATTCATATTTAAATGTATTTTGATTTATTCATAGCATTGTTTTTTCCACAGTCTCATCCGTAAAAACCGGGAATGAGTCAAGAAGAGTGAGCGTACTTGTGTTGAACGTGAGGAGAAAGTGAATGCAGACTCTTGTATGTGACATTTGAGTGTCCCACTTCAGAGCAGCCTAAAGGACGTGTTTTAGCCTCCACTCCTGGAGCCAAACAGGACGGAAGTGTTCAACTTGTAAGCCGTTGTTTCCCAATCTGGGGTACGCGGACCCCTGGGGGTACAGGAGGGTATTACAGGGGTACTTGATAAGAATTCCTTTATTCGTCCCGCAGTGGGGAAATTTCGAAATTTGAAATGATTTTCCAAACATGCAAAAAAAAGGAAACTAATTATGTCAAATGTCTACTGAAAATCTACTAACTGATACCATTGGCTGAAAATATTGTCAATAGCATTATCAGGATTATCCACTGATCAGGGCGAATGAATGAATGAACTTAGAAGCATGGTTAACCACAATGAATGAATGAACTTAGAAGCATGGCGAACTACAATG